GGGGATTGATTGTCGCAGCAGCTCTAGCAGGAGGCGGCCCTAATGGCGATGTCTGCTTTGACTCTGACTCCGACTCCCACTCCGACATCCTGGTAGCATCATCGATGAGAGCGAGAGCGAGAGAGTGACAAAGACTAACGCTTTCTCGTCACACACTTTGACACATTGTTAGTCAAACAAAAGATTTTGCATGCTAATTCGATTCTCCGGTCCAACACAAACACCCACACCACACACACGAATGAATGTGCAAGCCCAAATCCGAATCTGGGCTAAGACCCATTTCTTTCTTGTGTTTTATTTCGGTCGGAAGCCCAGAAGCCAATAATAAAATTGTTTATGTGGGTCCCCCTCCCTCTGGTCCGTCCTTTCGCTGATGTTGATAAAGCAAGACCCCCAAAGGCACAGGCCGCACGAGACAGGAAATTTGTTGGAAAAACTCTCTCTCTCTCCCGTCGCCGGCGACGGCTTGTAATTTTCATTGTTTTTAGGCCGTGCCAAGACGAGACGAGACGATGCTTGACTTCCGCCCTTCCTTTCCCTTCCGTTCCATTCCGTTCTGTCCCTTTTTTCCATATACAACTTTATATACACGGAAGTGTCATTTTTCAGCTAAGAAGGGCTTAACTTTTTCCTTTATGATGCGTTGAGGCTCACGCCTCAGAGCCAGGAAGCCCCAAGCCCCCCTCCCTGCTCTCGAGGGCGGTTAATTTTTGAGGTCTTCGCAAGGTTAGCATTAAAAATGTATATCGAAAATAATATGGAGAGTTTTACTTGCGAAAACCTAATTATGCTTGTGATAGGATTTTTGAGCAAGGGTTTCGTGCCTCGTTGGGCTTTCGATAAGGCTGAACACTTTCGAAGGGTTTCCGGGGGTCTGCGATTATTTATGGAGCATTGACCCTTTCGAATTGGCCGGCTTAATGGGGGACACGTTTTAATTTCGTGTCTTTGGCTAAAACATAAATCCATTAGCCACTCGGCCAACTCTTTCATGAAAGGCGAACTCTACCTAAAATATCCATGTACAAAAGTTCCAGACAGGACACCAGCAGAAGTGGGCAAGAAATGGTCAAGTTGAAAACTTTTTATTTTGTATTTTGCCGAAATTTTGTCTGGCAAACTAAATGGAAAAAAAAAAGTATTAATATAAGAGTATATCCTTTTGCCGGCGGCTGCATTGAAAATGATTTTACCCTGGGGACCAAGCACACACACACAGTCCTCGCAAAAAGACATCAAAATTCGTATCCTTTTTCTGTAAAACTTGTGCATACACAACATACAAAATAAGTTAAGGCAAAGCCATCTCTCCCGACCTATTCGGTTGTAGTTGTGTTCCGACAAACAGTTTCGTTAGTGTTCGGATAGTTTTTCGTTGGAAAGTTCAAAGTTCTGACTCTTGTACTGGACTGTGTATAAGTGTTCTTTGGGGACTTTTTGATAACTCAAATGGGAATATGAATGCTGAATGGAAGGAAGATGTGTGTGGAAACTATATATGTATAAAACCAGTCGAAAGATACTCGGCCTCCCGGCCATAGATTCTTCTACAAAATCCCTTAAAATTGCCTTAAATTCTAGAGTTCATAACCTCTCTTGGGGTAATGGAATACCATTTCTGGACCAACCCCACAATGCGACAAAGTTCTTGTCGTTTTATGATCTCTTTCGCTTCGCGCATTTTATTTAAGGGCGTTGATGCTGCTGCTCCTGTTGCCTCCTGTGGATGCCTCAGATTCTCCTGCTGGTCTCCTGTGGATGCCCCAGCAGCCACAGCTGCTTATTCAGTGGTGTTGTCGCATATTGTCGTGTGTTTATTACAATGCAAAGTGCAAAAAACTAAAATGTAGAGCCCCGAGGTAATATGATATCCATTATCATGCCAGTCGGAGGCAAGACAAACACCCCCCGCGAAAAGCGGGGCAAGCGCGTTGAAAAACGTCAGCGAGAAAAGTTTAAATAAATTTTATGTGGCTGAACCACAACTTGTTTTTTTTTTTGTAATCCTTTTTTTCGAGGCGCCGCCGCGTGGGTGATGTGGCATACATATGTATGTTTAATCAGCAGAGTAAGCCCGGAGAGTGACCCGGTATCCAGTTAAATCTCACCTTCTACCACGCCCACTCCTCCACCATTGCCCTTTGTAAATAAAAGTTGGCCTTTTTTTGACACACCCACACGGAGGCAGCTGGGGCTTGTGTGTGTGTGTGTCTACAGTGCGTTTCACTGCTTTAGGACAGTACGGCTCAGCTGTGCTCTACTAAAACTAATTATAAAGGGACTAAAGGGATAAAAGGGCTCGTTAACACCTAAATAAATTCCACAAAAAGACAAAGACTGTAGTGCAAAGCTTGGGGCTATTCACTATACAAAAATGAGTAGATCTTTGGACCTGGGAATATCCCAGCAGCCAAAAGACAAGTTTGTCAGGCTCTCAATGAACCCATCAGTCGTGCCACTTAAACTAGATTGTCGGCATATGTGGCAGACCAATCAAATGCCACAACATAAACGATTTCAATTAATTCGTTGAACAATTGGTTGGCTGTTCTGAACGACAGTACTGTCATAACTATTTATAGCTGGCAGCATTTCCGATTGGTATTGTCACAGCAATGTCTTGCAGTAACGAAACGCAGTGTTTGAATTTCGACTGCGGCATAAAGTTGCAGTTGCTAAAGTCAATGACCAGTTAAGTCAACACTCCGCCGCGCTGTCAAGAGGAGGAGGCGGAGAAGCAAGAGGTGTGGTCATGAGATCGGGATTTGGGGCAAGAGTCTGGGACTGGACTGGACTGGACTGGACTGAGAACATATTGAAATCATCCTCATCATCGCGTACGACACCCGCCTATGGCATTTACATTTTAATATTGCATTTTAAAGAACATAAAACTGCTGACGCGGCGCCCATTGAAATTGGTGTGTGTGTGTGTGCATTTCCCACCCGAAGGATATTATTGCTATGTGGGGGAGGGGGGCCCCTGGACCCTGGCCACAACAAAGGGAAGCGCCGCAAAATGCCGGGGAGAATCCATCCATAAGAATGAAAAAAAGATGGAGAAATATACTATATATATATTTTTTGCAATATTTTCGCTTGAGAGAGAGAGAGAGGCGAACGGATGGAGAGGATATCGTTATGGATTGCTTGTTTGCTCCTTGCTTCTACGTACAACAATGTTGTTAAATTTTATGTTTCCACAGGTAATGCCACCACCCACCATCGGCCCACCTCTTGCTACATCCTCCTTGAGCTGCAGCAAGGTTTTTTTTTGATTGATGTTCCATCCATTCGGTGGTCCTTCCTGGCATCCTGGCATCCTTTCTTCGTTTCTTCCTTTCTGGCTGCTGCCTTCCGCTTTCACTTCCCCTTCTTCTCACTTGCTTACAATCAATTTAAATGCGCCTCTGTGCATTGTAAAATTCTCTTTGGCTAAATCGTTATGTGCACAACCATAAAACGGGGATAACTGGGCCACACTGCCATTTTCCTACCACTTGCTGGATGTTGCCTGCCACAAGTTCCTCCTGCAAGTCTGATGCAAAATGATGCAAGTTTTCCTATGACTGTGACTGTGACTGTGCTTTCGCTTTTCGTTCGCTTTTCGTTGGCTTTTCGCCGGCTTTTCTTCCCCAGACCAGATCATTTATCATTTTTATAGCTCCTCAATGGAACATTGGACTAATCTAAATGATAGCATCGCCTCCTGCATCGCTTCTGCCAACGATAAAGACATAAATCAATCAAGTTTCGTTTAACTTCGACACAATCACAAACAGCCAGACCAGACACTTGATGTTTCATTGCAACTTCTTGAAATTGTCGACGCTCTCACGAAAATAATGATTGCAAAGGTCTTTACCGAATGGCTCCAGCTGAGAAATTCTTTGAAAAAAAAACCATGATTTGTGGAGCTTATGAATTCACAGAAAAGAGAGAAATCACTGGATAACTAACGCAATTTTGTTTTTTACCATTCCACTCTCTTTTTATGGCAGCTTTTAAGTAATGAAATTTCGCCCTGGAGCCCCACAGAGTCTTCTGTTTCTCTCATATGTCCGGCACTAAAAGCATTTTCTACGAATTTTCTTTGATAGATTTTAAGAACTGGGACTGGGTTCTGGGAAAATGTGTGTCAAAATCAGATTTTATTTTATTTTCTTACTAAAAAACAGAATAATTTCAAGTATTTTTTTATATTTTTTGATATATTAAACTCTTAAATCAAACTATTTATTCTCCAATATTAATGATTTTGTCCTCTTTTATCGTTAAAATATTATCGCCATAATACCCACGGCCACAAACAGTTTTATTCAAATAATAAAAATAATTATGGAGATTGATGTAAATGCGAAAATGATTGGCAAATTTTATTTGGCTAAGAACCCATAATTTTCAAACATATTTTGACATTAATTTTGCATATTGGTTTGACTTTGATAAGGGTCCTTTATAAGAGCATCAGAGAGAGAGAGAGAGAGAGGGGGGGAGAGTTCCAGGGCAAAAGCGTGTTTTTAGATGGACTTTTTGTATACTTTAACTTTCAAACATATATGAAAAATTTAAACTACAAAAACCTCGAAATGGTAAACTTTTTTCCATCAAGGATATGTTTTGAAAATTGATTAAATTTAACTAAAAATTGCATTGACACTCGCCTGGCGGGCTCGACTGCACAAAATGTGCCCTAATTCTTATGCCAGAGTGACCGCAGAATTGCACTCATCTAATTCCATTTTTCACACTCCTCTGCAGTGTTCTCCCCTCCTATTTGTGGTGTGGTGTGGCCAGGTCTTGGTGTTGTGGCAGGAAATGGAATACACGCAATTGAACAGCAAATTGAATTATGCATTGCATATGCTTCTTGTTTTGTGTGCGCCTGGGCGTAGGGTAAACAAATTGATTTTGATTTGATTTATTTACGAGACCGAAGCTCACTCCCCACTCTAACCGCCCCGCCACCACTCTACCCCGTTTCTATTCCATTTCAGTTTTGGCTGCAAAAATGTTTGAGATGGCCCGAAATGGTTACAGTCGCCGCTACAGTCGGATGCTGGCTGTTGCCTAGAAATACGAAAGCCAGCAAAAGCCCCAAAAAACAGTACCGGAAAAACAAACCCGAAACCGAAACCGAGACCTCAGACTCGAAAATAATGTCCTGCTGCTACATGCATTGAAGTTGACATCACACACACACAGATACACACCCACACACACACACACAGAGCCAGTGAAAGCTTTTTGAGCAGAGCGGAGAGGAAGGAGTACAATGGTCATCCAGTGCACATGTGATTGCAACTGCAGTGATAGTAGAGATAACCGGAGCCTCATCTCCTCGTGCCTCCCAGCAGCAGTAGCAGCAGCAGCAGCCACAGTGCCACCACGCCAGCAGCAACGAGGCGGCGGCACCGGCGGCAACCATCATCCATTCGGTTCCTCAGCAGCCTCTGGTGGCGATGATATGGAGCATAGGATACCATACTATCGCCGCTTATCGAATACCTCATCAGCCCTGTACGGCAGCTGTCCCCAATTGCTGGCCACCAGCACCAGCACCAGCACCCTACCGCATCCCTGTCCCCATCATTCGTCCAGGCAGCTGGAGGACAGACAGTACTCGAGTCTGGTGAGACCCAAGCATAGGAGTCCCGTGCTGTGCAACAAATGTGCGCTGTGACGAAGATACAATCTGAGCTGTGAGCATCCGAAGCAGGGCCACAAGTCCGCAACGAACGCACCGAAGGTTGGAGAGCACACGGAGGCAAAACCGAAACCGACACCGAAACCTGACCACGGTCCCCAGGACCCAGAACAGATACGGAACAAGGAGGCGACACACACACCCGCTCGATATTTGTGCACCGAGTGTCGCTTCAATAATCAGCCATTGGCCTGGTGGGTTTCATGTCCCAGGCTCTCGAATCTATCCAGTGAACAGCTCCAGGAGCTCCAGGAACAGCAAATAAAAATGCAGTCGTCGCACTGCCATGCTGGAGGCGGGGCAACACCCACGGCCACGGCCACAGCCACAGCCGCCGCCCTGCCGCGCTTCCCCGTGCAAACGGCCAAGAGGCATTGTGACAATTTTGGCAGCTATGCCACATTGCCCACCATTGAACAGCAGCACCAGGGACAGCATCCTCAGCATCCTGTCGCCTGCAGTCGACATGGTGGCGGTGCCGTTGGCGTATTGCCTGCCCCACCGCCTCCACGCTGGTATGGTGGTGTGGCCGCTGCAAATCCCAATTTGAATGGCTGCTGTTATATGTACAATCCGCCTAGCACAAACCCTCATCACCAGCATCATCAGTATGCCCCACAATATTGCCTCTGCGATAATTGGTATCAACAACAACAACAACAACAACAACAACAACAGCAGCAGGTGCACCATCATCAGGTGCAACAAAGAAGCAAACCGAATGGCGGCGGCTGCTACTTTGGTGAGTAATGAGGCCAACCCGGAGGCCTTTTAGTCCATCATTTAATCAGAGGTTCGATTGTTTTTCCGAATGTTTAGGCTATGAGGGCCACCACACCCATCCCCATCCCCATCCCCATCCCTCCATCCCCATGCATGCGCCGACGACACACTTGCCGGTGCCACCGCACATCACCGATGAGGAGGATTCGGCCTTTCCGGCACTGGCCGATCGGGAGTTTCATATGCTGCATCGGAACATACCGGCATTGCGGCGCACGGGCGTGGACACCACACGCATCCGACAGGTGAGTCCGCCCCCAACCTGCTTGTCAAACTGTAATTGCCGGCAATTTACTACTGCTCTCTTTTTTCTGGGTTTTTTTTGCAGTACTTTTACCCCGATGGCGGCTGGGGCTGGATCATCTGTGGCGTCTCCTTTCTCGTTCACATCCTGACCACCGGACTGCAGCTCAGCTACGGCCTTCTGTTGTTCTACGCCGTACAATATTTGCATAATACCAATGGCATAGGTAAGTCATGGCCTCCCACCAGAGGTCAGAGATCAGAGGCCAGGCATCGGCCGCCTTTATGAATTGTCTGTGCGACATGGCCTAATCGGAGTGTGCAATCAGTGGCCATGTGGCAGAAGCCCACTGTTGTTGATTGTGGTATTTTCCTGGTTATTTTCTTGTTTTCCACACAATTTTCCGGTATTCCTGGGCATTTTCTGGAGTTAGACTTTCGGCCCTCTCGGCCTGAATTGAGTAGCAATCAAAATGTTTGTGTGCACGAATCTACAGGGCATATTGAAAATGCAAATGCTTTGAATAATATTCGATGTGGTGTGGTGTGGTGGGGTGTGCTGTCTTTGCCTCTGAATATTTGCTTGAATTTCATTTACATCCTGCTTTAAAGCCAAGTGTTGGACAAGGTGTAAGAACACTGTCAACAGTCAGTGCGAAACTACTCCGACGGCAAGCAATGCTGACAGTTTATGGAGCAGAAGTTCATCCTTTCAACATAAATTTTCATGCCTTGCTGATGGAGTGCATGACATACAGTGGGAACAGTGTTTATGGCTTGCACTTCCATTAGTGTTTGCAATGATATATCATCTTATTCTCGGTCCTGAGTAGGCAATGTGGATATATACATGTTTTCTGTGGTGGCACAGGTTTCGAATGGGGCATTAAAGACTGACAAAATGTACGAAAAATCAGTTCAATTAACGGTATTACATATGTACATACCTTTGTAATCGCATTGCACGCCTCTCTAACAAAAGGTTTCCTTGTCACTCTAATTACATTAAGCACATCCCATCCCAAACAGTAATTAAAAGCTTAAAATCAATTTGAAACCACAGTTTTCACACTCTTAAATGGTTTGAATTGGTGCTCTTCACAGGGGCCCTTAACTTTTGAAATATTACAACTCAAAAGATTACTTTTCCAGCGGGGCAGGGCTCGGGCGGCCCTTCAAATGTGTTAATTCACCTCTGGTCAGCATCTCTGGAGAATGACCTTCGTCAAAGTTGACTTTTCTGCTGTAAAATATTATCACTCAAAAGCTTAATTTCCACGCTGTGCTCCTGCTCTTCCACAGAACTCCTGGGCGCCCTGAGCTGGTCAATTTCCATGCTGGCCACACCGTTTGTGGTGTCGCTCTGTCGAAAGCGCTCCATTCGGCTGCTCTCCATTGTGGGTGGCCTCGTGATGCCCCTGGGCATACTGTTCACCTCATTTGCCACGGAATTTGGACAGGTTGTTTTCAGTTATGGTGCGTATAAATAAATAACTTTTGGCCAGTGCCAGGCACGGCACAAAGGACCCAACTGATACTCGTGCTGCTAAATCCTCTGGCAGGCATCGTCTTTGGCATCGGTGTCGCCATGGTGCGTGAGGCATCCACCGTGATGCTCGGCAATTACTTTAAGCGTCGCCGTCAATTCGTCGAAATGGTGGCCATGTCCGGCGAGGGTGTGGGCATCGCATTGTTCTCCGTCATCCTGAAGGAGGGCGTGGGCAAGGCCGGCTGGCGCCTGGGCCTGCAGATTGTGGCCGCCCTGACGGCCCTCAGCTTTTTCATGGGCCTCATGTATCGACCGGCCTCCCTCTACCATCCCCAGCGACGGGCCATCCAGCACTTGAAGAATCAGCGCAAAAAGGTAAACGCCATGGATACAATAAGTTCTCTCCATCAAATCAATTTTCCACCACTTCAGATGAGGGAAAAGAAACCGATTTTGAGCCAGGAAGTGGAGTCCCCGACGAGATATCTTTTTTTGGACATATCATCACTGAAATCGGTGACAGTTAAAATCTTATTAATGACCTCCAGTGTGGCCTCCTTTGGCATTTACACACCCATGTTCCTAATGGTAAGCGGTGCTCCCTGTTATTGGGGATATAATTGCTAAATCATCTCTTTACAGGCTCTCAATGCCGCCAAGGAGGGCTCGGATGTCCAGGAATTGGTTTTGTTGCAGACTTTTCTTGGCATTTCCATGGCCCTGGGTGTGGTTATAGCTGGGGCCCTGCTGCGTCGCGTCTTTGTGATCAGACACTTTGTAATTAACACGAAAATTGTCACCCAGGTGCGTTTTATACGTAGTCTGGCGGGGAAATCCTTAATCTTGGTTTGTCTTTCCTTTCCATAGCTCTTCATATCAATTGTGGCCCTGGCCATACTCTTTCTATCCTTCGTGATGGGCTATAAGGGCCTGTGCATCCTTAGCTGGTTATATGGCATAGGTCTGGGTGGCTTTCAGTATTCCTTGAAGATTTTGGCACTGGAACGAATAAAACTAAAGCATTTCTCCAAGGCTTGGGGTGAGTACAAGACTGCAGTGAGCCCCTTCCATTTCCATTGGTTATACGATTCGCTTTCAGGTTTCATTCGAGGCGTTGAATCGGTTCCGGTTCTGATCAGTGTGCCACTGACTTCCTTCCTCAACGATTACTCCCTGAAATACGGTCGTGCTGGCTACTATATTTGCTCCGCTGCCGCTGCCATCTCTGGCATCATAATCTTCTTTATCAGTGAACCGCAGCACCAGCAGAACCAGCAGCAGCAGCACCACCATCACCAGCACCAGCATCGCGGCGGACAGCCGCATTTGAATGGACACCTGCCCACGCCCATGCTGATGCGGCACTCTTCGGCGAGGCAGCATCGGCCCCCACACATGCACATGGACTATGGCTACGGGGAGTATCCGGCCCCTGATCTCCTCAGTCGCAGCTGCATTAGTCTCAATCAAATGGATCCGTATCTGCAGACCAGCGCCAACTATTGCCAACGTCACATGCAGCAGCAGCAGCAGCAGCAGCAGCAACAGCACCATCACTCCCATTCCCACTTACATGCCCTTGGCCCACCTCAGCAGCATCCACAGCAGTTGGCGTGCCACAATCTGGACATGCAGCAGGTGCGCGGCGGCGCCTATCAGGCGGGGCAGGGCAGCATTGGGGCCCGCATGGGCAAGCGTCTGCAGCGCAGCCTGTCCTTCATTCAGCAGCACAACTGCTGCGATGGCCTCTACTGCAGCTTCCACAGCACCTACGAGCTGGGCTGCCACAAGAGCAACAAGTAAGTACACACATTACTACTACTACGACGCGCACCAGTAGTCTGACGAATGGGCTCCCTAATCGGTCCCGTCCCGGCCACTGGAGAGCAATGAGCATCGCCTCCCATGCATTGAGTGGTCGTTGCTTGCCGGGTCGTGCCTTGCACAGAGTCGGTGGGCACTGGGTCTTAGCTCTGTTTGTCTGTTGGCGAAGCACACACATATATTGGTGGGTAGGTAGTGGAATGGTAAATCAAAGTGCACATTAAGCTGGTGGGGAAACGTTTTAAGTACATGATATCCATCCATCCACCGCTGGCCATTAGATACGGGCAAAGGAGTTGTAGGAAAAGGAATTTAGTCCGTCCAAAGAGTCCAATGGGGACTCTATTCAGAAACTTTACCGATTAATGATCGATAAACAGATTACCAAACTTTGGACCTACAAAAGTCTACCAGTTCGACCTCTTGAAATAATCGATACTCCATGGGTGGAGTATGTGGGCATCCAATGCCGATTCGAAACGAAATGAAACGAAACAATCAAAAACCAATTAAAAGATTTCCCGTTGAGCAAGACAATCGAGAGCAATCAGGGCCATAGAGAAACCATAGAGAAACAGAATCAATTTAGCAACGGCTTCGTGGCCTTATGAGGCACAAACCAAGCCAAGAGCCCGCCCTCGATGGAGGGACGGCCCGCTGTGTGTTGACACTTTGCCTAAAACCTTCAAATTGCTTCGCTTCCATTTTCCAGATCCCAGGACAGGCAGGCATTGATATGCACCTGCAGTCCCAGCACCACCACCACCACAGCCACCACCTATGGAGGAGGACACATGGCTGGAGCGAGCTCCACTCGCAGCCGCAGCGTTCCAGAGGGTCTATCGACCATGTCGCAGCAGTGTAACTGCCGGCATGGCCAGGCGGCCACTGGATCAGGTTCGGGTCCAGGTCCCACCCGTGAGTTCATCTACGTGCCGCATGCCTATGCCTCGCTTCAGAGAACGCCACATCGTCATAGCCAAGGAGCGGGTGGCGGAGCCAGTGCCGGAGCTGGCGGAGGAGGATGCCAGACGTTGCGAAACAATCCACAATGCCGTCTGAAGCGTTCCCAGTCCCTGTGTCGACCCGGAACCGTGCAGTTTGTGGAGCAAATCACCACCTCGGTGTAGGATGCTACCCAATTGGGTACCATAAAACTTATTTTTTGGTATTATAGTCCAACCCAGACACCACATACATGTTACGTGAATCGAATTCAGAATTTGTCAGATCTCTTCTAGTCTTTTGTCGTATGTAGCTCTATTAGAAATGTAAACTAATACTCCTCTCCAGCTGGGAGCTCAAAGGGGAATGTGGAAGAACCCACTGCCCCCCTCCCACCCTACACACACACCTTAAACAAAGAAAAGCAACTCAATGAATTTTCCATATATATATATATATAAATCCCATATAAAAACCCACACACAACACACACATTCATTAAACTAGGATGAAAATTTTTACTCATTAGCATATGAATATATTATAGAGATTACAGACAGACGGAAAAGCTTTATCGGGTGTCTCAAGCAGCAAGAATAAACGGAAAACAAAAACAAAACAAAAAAAAACAAGTATTCAAATTATGGCAAGAACATAAATATTTATGAGGCACTTCAAATGGGGAATCGAATCGAATCGAATCGAAAGCAAAAAAAATAAAGAAACTTCTTAAATGGTCCATTTTATAAACGTGCATACAATTTAACCACCGAATACCGATTACCAATCTATATATACATACTACGAAAAAAAAGACCCATTACCGATGTCTCCCCTGAGGCGGGACCCGGAGAGACCCAGAGACCCAGAGATCCAGAGACCAGATCCAGTGCCAAGTGCCGAGTGCCGTGTGCTGATTGCCGAGTTTGTCGTGTCAGCTCAAAAGTACTTTATTTTTCAATAATATATACATGTATATTGCATAATTAAGATGCGTGCAACATCGTACACGGCGACAGAGAAATGAAAATTACTTTTGCCACGGACGCTGATTGAGTGAGTTAAATGAGCCTTATTTTCCGAACCGAAACGAAACGAAATGAACCGAAACGAGGCATATGAAATAATAATGATTACCATTATGATAACCATAATTAATTGAAGCTGCAAATTATCACAGGAGCAGTGCGGTAATCCACCATAAATTACAAAAAACAATGGCCGACAATATTGGCCATGAATTGCATGAACAGTAGTCAAAAATGAGAGAGCCAATTGGTAAGCCATTTAGAATTCATTAAAAAAGTTCAGCGCTAACTAAATAGAACTCTCAACAGAACAGAAACAGAAACAGAAACAGAGCTGCATAGGTGTACATATAATAATTAGTTGGAAAAAAAAGGAAAATATTCTATAAATACAAAGGTTTCGTGCACCAGTAAAACGATAGCATGAATCATTTAACTAAAAAGACCAAAGGGCAAATGGGAAAAGGCAGAGCTGTTGTTTCACGGTGCGTTTTATGCCGACCGATTCCATCGAAAATATCCCATCGTCAAATTGAAGCCATTCTCGTGACTCTTTTGTTATTATTCAGGGAATTTTCGTGCAGGGGAACCCACTATGTCATGCTGTGTGACAACAAAAACCGGCGGGATTTACATGTTAACCCGCTGCGAATACGCTCTCGATGCGAAAAGACGACAGGCAGTACAAAAACGCATCGTTTAACAGCGGCTTGAATAAACAGAATATTTTATAAAATATTTGAAAAGCTTAATGAAATGGCAAATAAACAAAATATGAAAGGAAAACAGCGTACAAGTGTCAATACATTGTTGTTTTTGCAATAAAAATGGTAACAACAACAAATAAAAGATACAAATCTAATGCAAAAAGGCCAAGAACATTTCGTACAATATGTTCAGCGAATGCCTAATCCAAAAAGTCATTGAAAAACCAAACGAAATTGAGAGAAAAAAATGCATAAAAATTTTAGATGAATGTGAGCAGAATATTTGCCCATAAAATGTTTACCACGAATTGGAAAACCCAAGAAAAATGTATTCCTCAACACACCATTTGGCCGACAAAAAACGTGAAAATGAAACAAAATAAACTGCCAGGAAATGCAATAAAAGAAAAAACATTAGCATACATATATTACGAAGCAAACTAAGATCCTACCACAAAATTTGTTCACTCTTTCAAGGTCATTAAAATAAATTGATAAAAATTTTCCACTAAGAAAAACCACATAAATGTTCGCCATTTTGTGTTCGAATAAAACGAATGAAAATTTGCATCAAATAAGCATACACTAAATAGCATATCTATGTGCCAATAAAAAGTAAACCAAAAACAAACGAAAAAAAAACAATTGTCAAAAAATGAAAATGAAAACTAACCAATTTTAAGGTGCAACTTGTAGCTAAAACAATTTTTATCTGTGCCGAGATTTAGATATGGGAATTTTTCGGAGCGAACCTAAACAAGAAACTCCAAAACTTTGTAACTCTTTATCATTAGTAGTTTAGTGTGATAAATGTTAATAAAGGAAACACCTAAATGGAAACTTAACACGGACTACATTCAATTCCATTCAATTAGGGTCTTTGCAATAAATGACAGCCCCAGGCTGAACATTTTAACCCGAAAACAATGACAAAAGGGACAGAGGACAGGGGACAGGGGACAGAGGACAGGGGACAGAGGACAAAGGATTTGGCAGTGGCCACAGTGAAGTTTCCATTTATTACGTGCTAAAATTTAATAAACAAGTTCAACAGCACTGCCAATGTCATATTTCATTTATTAATTAATGGCATTAACATAAACCGTCAATTTGTGTGTGGTTTGGGGCAAACACCAGCACAAAGCCATGCCCCAAAAAGTGCGGGGGCCACGGCACACTGTAAAGCCGGGCCGATTAAAAAGTTTACCCTAGCCGTTGCCAAAGTCAAGACCTCCTCTTAATGTTGCATATATTGTACATATAGCCCCGAGGTCCCCATTATGGTACGTGCCTAGACTGTAAACAGGCGACGAGAGGCCGCCATCGGCGCAGAGCACATATAACAATTCCACACAACGTCAATGACATGCTCAATTTTTCATGCATTATTGTATGCCGGGGCTTCGGCTATGGCTTCGGCGTCGGGAGCCACACTGCGTATGCTTGATATTTGCCTTGTATTGACTTGGGGCCGTAGTCGTGCCAGTAGTCGGCGCAAAGCACATTTAAGTCTCTGAATATTTGCGTAGTAAGCGGCTCGCAGGGCGAGAAACTTCACAGAGCCTTCTCGTCTCGTCTCGAGGCACATGGCCAAAAAGCCATAAGACAATTTGCTGCAAGCTTACATACATGAGGAAAGAGTTTCCTCATACATATGCATGCCACACAGAACACAGCCCAAACATACCCAGATATGGTTTATTCTACCCAGAAAGCACACACACTCACACACACTGAGGGTTTATCCTGGCCAGACCTCCTCCCTCCACCCAACGGAGGGTTGATTTTGGTTAAGCAAACACACAGGGCCGAAACGGAAACTATTGTCATCTATATTGCGGAAATGGTTAGGGCAGCGTTTGGGGCATTTTGGCTATATAACTGATTAAAGATTGCCATAGCTCAAGGGAGCTCAAAAGTGGGGAGGTCATGATCCCTTGACTTGTTGACTCAGCAAAGGATTTCGGCTCTGAGAAATTATGATTTGCTCTGCTCTTTGGTTAGCCATCATTCATAAAAATATAATCTTATTGATACACTTATGTATGGTTTTATCCACAAAAAGTGAGGGTCCATTGTGGTCTTCAATTTGACATTGATCCTTTCTGATGAATGGTGCGAAATCCTTTCTTTCAGCCACATAACTGTGGCGAAAAATGAACATTTATATGCTCTTTTTATGGCCTCTTAAATGAATCGTTTATAGATGGAATCGTGATCGTATTGTGGTAATAGTATATGGATAAAGATATGATTTCTCCTAATTAGAAAACATTGGAGACTTCTTGTAATTCCTGCAAACAAAACCACAATCAAAGTGTTAACTTTTAAAGAACGAAATCCCTTAAGACCAAAATCTTGCCCAAACTAGCCATAAAGGATCTCCGAAATGTCATCCCAGCGGCTTTATAGCCAACATTTTTTGGGCATTCTTCTAAACTTTTATGCGACTACTTGCCATAACACTATAAGGCAGACGCCGAGCCGGCGATTGCCCCCAGAAAGCGATTTAATATTGCCCCCAAGAGTATGCCACACGAAATGTTTGCTTTTATTTTGGGCGAAAATACTGTTGGTATTCGTGGGAAACGAACAGCCTCCAGCTGTTAGCTGCAGCTTCCGTTCTCGGGGGCTTCTGTGTGGCTTTGTTCTTTCATTTGTGGCAGATATCTCAAGCAAATTAACCTAACTACTCCTAATGCCGACGCGAGCTGCCCGGCCCCCGAACAGACACACGAAAACCAATTAAATTCTTCCGCAAGGCAAGGGCATAAAAGCTTCGTTGCTTCGATTAAAGCCTGCCAGGGTAAGAGACCGGGCCGGGGGGATCACATCTTGTGCAGGGGAGTGTGTGGGGGGGGGGGGGGGTGTGCCTTAAAGCGGGCTCGTCGTGTGAAGTCAACTTTGGTCGACGCGTCCAACATGCGTTCTAAGTGAAATTTAGCCGCTGGCTGGGTTTTTGGGGATACGTGCCGCGCGGTGTCGCCTCGGCTGAGGCTGTCCCGCTGCCACACTGCCGCTGTTGCTACAATTGCTGCCACTTCTGCTGCTGTTTCAGTTGCTGCCACTGCTGCAGCAGCCCCAAGCCTCCTCAGTCGACGTCGCCGCTGCGCTGTCATGCGCATACGCACGCTCTGTTGCCTACTTCCAGGCGTCCGGATCCAACACCCCCCGCCACCGCCCACGAGACAAGTCCATTGTTGCGCTTTTGCAGTGGCTGCCACGCACCACACCACACCACAGATGCCGAACATCTGTTTTATGTTTGCCTCGCTTCCAGGAGGACTCCTCTCGCTCTCTCTCGCTCTGGCTCTTGGCGAGAGGAGAGACTCTCGTTTGTGGCAGAGCTCCACTCCGGTACTCTGGTGCTCGCGTACTCTCGTGTGCGTCTCGGATGTGCGGAGACGTCCTGCGAGTGGGTACCATTTCGCATTTCGTTTCAGTTCCAGCATCAACGCCACGGCGCACGGAGCGTGTTTTTTGGATACCATTCCATTCCGTAACGCTGTCGTCTGTCGGGTTACCTAAAGCCACACGCAGCGCCCCACACACTCACACACACACACGCGCGCACATACCTACACATATAGAAAAACCTTTGCACGCAAAAAAGGAAAGGACTACGATATGGAAATACCCGGAGATATAAGGAATATTTAACCGAAAAACTACTAATGGGAACGCACTTTTTGGCGAGGAAGGACAACAGCAGCAGGGAAAGTCTCCCGGAAAACTCAGCTCCGGTCGGTGCGTTTTTCCTACGGCTTTTTCAAACGGCACAACGGTGCCCCTTTTTTTTGGGCAACGCGAATATCGATTGCTGACGACTGCCTTGCATAAGTCCACAGAAAGATTAGTGTACAAAGGGCAGCATCGGAGAGTGTGTGCCTGGGAGCAAAACGGATACAAAGGATAACTCAAATGAAACCATTCAAGTCGAAACAACGAAGCTCTACTCTTGGAGAACTTGTAGGAATTAAGTTTTTTTAATTATCAATATTGATGCTACGATGCTGTCGATGATGGTGCCGACAATGATGGTGCGGGCGGAGATGCAGGAACAGCAGCTGAAGCGAAAGATTTCAGACAATTGACAGCAAGAACAACGAAGATATTCTATCCCCGCCTCCAGATATATCTATATATATATAGATTTCAGAAGGATATCTCTACGCTCTGCTCATTCTCCGTGTCTGTGTGTGTGTGTGCGTGTGTGTGTGTCTGCCCTTGTTTCGCTTTTCGTTTTCCTTTTCTTTTCTTTTCCATTTCCACTTTTATTTCTTTTACTTTTTGTTTGTTTCGCTGAAAATGGATATTGCCTTGCGTGGCACGGGCACGGGCACAGCATCAACGACTGGCACTGGCACTGGCACGGGCACGGGCTCTGGTCCTCGCAGCGGCACTGCCGGCAGTGGTAAGTCCTTGAGTTCTGTTCTCCTGACTACAACATGGCAGTTCCAAGACACATAATCACACATTTTATGTACGCCATGTTTTATGTACTCCTCGCAAACGGCAAATGAAACGAAATACATTTCATTTACAGGTCTACACCATGCTGTGTCATTGGGCAACATTGAGGTCTCCGCTAAGGTTCGTATCACCGCAAAGCGTGCGGCTCGGGGGGGCAGACAATTAATGTGTGCCACCGATGTGACTAGGGGGAATCTCAAGTGGCAGGAGGTACTGTCACTGCCACTGCCACTGGCGGATGATTGACACAATTATTTCGATGGAAATCTTAGGTTGGGAGTCCAACGATGATTCAAACGAATCATTAAAAAAGAGATGGAAGGAAAGGATAGCCTAGATGGCAATGAAGAAGTTGAAAGAGTTGTAGAGTCATTAAAAGAGATTGTAATTGAATGTCATGGCAGATAGACAGAAGTTCAGAAGGTCAGAGGAAGTGCAAGTGGTTGATGAAATAATGAAAGGACGACAGAAAGGCAGAGGAAAGTTGAAGACAGAAAAGGAATAGAAATATCATAGATTGACGATGCGAATGGTTAGAACTAGTAGTAAATGTTGGTATCAAAGACCCAAAGCCTTAGACTACTCAAAAACCAGCAATTCCGAAATGTTTGGCACCACATGTCGTATGAGTAATATGCCAAGAAATCGCTTTGGCAAGTTTGCCAACGAAAAGTAAGTGATTAAAACTATCTGTTACCACCGCAGGCCACCTACTCCAGCCATATGGACCGCAGCTACGACTCCGAAGATGAAAACACGGGCCGACGACGACTCCGTCACACGCTTTCCACCGAGCTACAACCACGCGCCTCCGTCTACTCGCGCGGGGATATCAGAGAACAGGTGAGGAAACCCTTCCTTGAGATTAGCCTCTCAATTAATATGTTTGTGTTTTGTTTAGTACTGCCTAACAGATCGACAGCTGCATAGCATAGAGCAGCGTCCGCGTCGAGAACGCTTCTTTGGGTGCCTTTCGCGTCGCGGACAGACGCAGTCGGGCAGCTTTCTGGGCGGCTGTGTGGGCCGTCGAGTGCCCTCCGACGAGAATCTGGCAGCATATGCGCCATTCGAGAAGTATCCACGGTGTGTAGCAGTCGATACATCCGAAGATATGCGGCGAGAATAATCAAATCGTATCTTTAGATATCAGAACAACTATACGGACACACACGAATTGGATAGTTCCTATTTTCGACGACAACCAGCCTCGATTCTAAGCACGGGAAAGTCGAGTGAACCGGATCTGGGTGGACGATATACCTGGATAGGACAGCAGCAGCAGCAACAGCAACAGCAAACCAACAACAACACCGAGTACCAAACGAACCATAGGTATGTCCTCCGAAGAGAACCCAACAAAAAACCAGAACCGAAGAACCCAAAAATTACAACTGTAAAACTGTAAAACTGCTATGCCAACTGTCGCTAGATCATGCTTAAAACTGTCGCACTATCTGTAGTCTCTAACTCTCTACTGTTCCACTCGTACTCTCTATAGATCCACCCCCACCCCCCACCCATATAGTGTTCTATAGCTCTAATACGCTTGCAATGCTTGCCTGAACCCAAAGACAACACTCAGCGCCTACCTCTATCACCACCATACAATGCATAATGGCATCATGGCATCATTGCTTTTGCTTTCAAAGTTCTATCCAACCACAACAATATTGAATTGAATATCTTCTTCTGCCCGAAATGAGAACTAGAAATGCTGTATAAAAAATACCTTTTTTCGTATACTCTTTCGTTATTCATTCACCTATCCTTCTCTCCTCAAAAATCAATCGAAAAACGACTGTAAAAAATAAAAAACCAATAACCAAAATTGAACCATGAAAAAATACCCCACAAATACAAAAAAAAAAACCAAAAAAACAAAACTGAAAAATGAACAAAATGTGTAAAGGGCAACTTGTTGTACAGCACCACTTGAATCCTTTTACCAGGATGTTTTGCTACGGAATTATTATGTCGAGCTTTGCGCTCCACCAAATCCTACACCACCAACATCACACACCAATCAAATCGCTAATCTAAATGTTTGGTATGTAAAGTGATCTAAAATCTAAAGACAAAAATCTAAACTTAAATAATATCTGAAAAAAGAACAAACAACAAAAAAAAAACCAAAAAACAATATTAACCAAAAAAGTGAGCTAAAAATGTTTTATTTATGTTACATATGTGTCTGCACGTGACCAAAAAGCAAATGAACAAAAACCAAAAACCAAAGAAAAGCAAAGTATAGTTGAAATAAAAGTTGCAAGAATTAGTCGCAAGTCCCTGCTGCCAGGAGAGAGTTCAGCTAATAGTCCTGTGTGATTTACTTACTCCACAGCTCGTATCACTGCCCCACGTACGCCACGATGCCGAACACCCATCACCATCAGCAGCAGCAGCAGCAGCAGGCGGGAAGGTACATAATAGACATAGCTACAGTACGCTCTATGGAGAATCCTCTTTAATCTGTTTCTCTTCTTTCTGCAGAACCAAACATGTGAGCTTTGCTCGCTCGCATACCCTCACCAGCTTCGACATGAACGTGAATGCGGGTTTCCGACCGTCGGGACGCTTGAGGACGGCCAGCAGTCAGGAGCGTTTGATTGGCGGCAAGAAGCCCATCATTGCCTCTGGCTCCATGTACGAGACACTGCAGCCCACAGTGCCGCAGAGCTCCACGCTGCCCAAAACCTGGCTGCCACCGCCAGTGCAACTCGCGACATGCCAGCATCATCATGCGCCTATTCATCTCCATCAGCCACTGCCGGGTATGAACAATGCCATCCCCAGATCCATCGATTCTTATTTCGAATCATATTTTCCTCTAGATAACATGTTGGGTCTCATCATACCACAACCTCTGCCCATGGCCTTGCCACCGCCCAGTCCTGAGGTCCTTATTGTGGAGAAAAAGTTCCGGAATGCGATGAAAACTCAGGCCACGCAAACGGATGTGGCCGCCCGACGTCAGGCGGCGGGCTATAGCACCCAAGTCTTGTCGTTGAGTCCTAGGCCTCCACATCGGGTTAAGGTGGTCTCGCAGGGCGCCCAGACCAATGGCCTGCAGAACGGCAAGAAGTTAACGAAGAGTCTCTCGGAGATTCCCAATGGCAAGGATGTACAGCCGTATCACTATCAGCAGGGGTAAGACACATATAGGAGGAAAACCTCGTTGATTTTGAGTTTGTAAATACTAAACCCTAATACTTCCCACCCCGCAGAATGATTTACCCCCATGAAATGATCTACCGAACTCAGTCCCAGGATGTGACTCCTCTGCAAACCCTCTCGGATGCCCAGAACAACATCATGTACTACAAGCCGCCGCCTCCGCTCTTGGATCCCCACAGCTACGGCCTGGGCATGGAGCATTTGAGCAGAGGACGTCCCTCTGCGGCGGAACAGAATGTGGAGTACGTGAATGTGAATGCCGCCGCGGTGGCCCTCAATGAGAGCTTCGACTACGAGAGCAACAGTTTGCCGCGACGGGCGTGCACCTCGCATGCGCGCACGGAAACGGATTACTACTCGAACAGTCTGCCCCGACGAGCGGATACCCTGCACAGCCACGATATGTGCAAGCATATTACGGAGTGTGTGGACCTCATCCCGGACAACGGGATAGACCTGGACTTTACGCGTCCCCACCTGCTGCCGCCGCCGAGTGAGTACTGCAAGAACGACGACGACGTGGAGGACGTGGAGGAGTACTACGACGATGAGGAGGAGGAGGACGGCCCCTCGCATCCGCACGAGACGGAGAGCTACAGCTCGGAGGTGTGCATGGAGCAGGCGGCCCGTCGCATGTCCATGCTGCCCCAGATGATGGACTCGCCCTTTCGAAGGGACGACCTGCGGCGTCAGTCCATGCCGGTTTATGGCCAAACCGAGAAGCTCATCGACGGCTTTGGACCGCGCACATCCTTCCGGCGACGCGACAAGGTGAGCTGCTTTCCGGATGACACTCAGGTGGGGATCGGGACCAGGCGCGATGAGCAGGAGATTTTCATTGACTTTAAGCCGCACGTGTCGCCGAAGCCCAGTCCCAAGCTGCAGGTGAAACACCGAAAGCAGCACAAGGCGGAGATCGCCATGCGGAAGATGCAGCAGCAGCGGATGGCCCAGGCCGCTGCTCACACGCTCCCGAAGCCAAAGTCAGTCGATGTTGAGGTTAGAAAAGCTGAACTTGTGCCCAGCGACGAGGACGAAGAAGAGGACGACACCCAGGACCAGGACCAGGAGGAGGAAGACGAAGAGGAGGCCGAATCAGAGCGCAACAGAACGGAGAATGATCATCCCGACGATGAGGAGCCCATCTATGAGAACATTATCCCGTGTGGCTGCAAGGTGGAGCCACCACAGCTGCCGCCACCACCCCTCATCCTCGAGGACATTCAGGACAAGCGCTCGCAGTTCCGCAAACGATCCGTCAGCCTGGACGATGACTATGCCGCTGCAGCGGGCATCTTTCCCACTCCCGGGCCCGGACTCCGTCTGCCCTCCACTCCGGCCAGCCCATGCCGGGAGGAGCTGCTGCTGGCCAATGTCTCAACTTATCCATCCTCAGACTCGCTGGCCAACGACACCACACGCGATCATTCCGACGGCATCTGGAACGAGTCGCAGGTCACCGTCCTAACCGCCGATCAGCACATCTCCGACGGTTCGTACAGCTCCAATTTGCTGCTGACTCCGTCGTCGAAGCGAAAGAATCTCCTGCTGCAGCATCAGCAGCGTAGCTCTGTGGACACGGATGCCCTGGATTTTGAAGAACAGGTGATTTAGAGTGTTTCTTTTGAGGGATTCCTGATCTTCATTCTGCCCTTCCTCCGTTTTTCGATAGAGTCCCACCTATGGCCTACAAACACTGCCAAAGATCATCAAGACCCCGACACCAACAACTTCCAGGCCTGCCTCCACTCTGCCTCTGGTACCGCCGCCAGCGATTGCCGTGACCCCATCGAGCAATCAACCCCTGGACTCTGCCATAACCTCGCCACTGCCCAAGCGCAGCATGATGCCCAGAGGGTCCGTGCCGGATGCTCGTCAGCTGATGTATCCGAGTGGTGTAGGCGGCAAACAGAGGTAGGCGCCACGTCCTAGAACGTCTGTCTTTTAATGCCCAAAAATCTACTTGTTTTAGACACTCGGACGCCTCGTTTCTGCCCATGGCTGGGGCGGACTATGCCAGAAGTGCGGATATCTCAGAGTGCAGCACGAATACAGATGAGTATGCCACCTGTACGGACAACTCGAAGCGTACACCAGGTATTAAGACACCGCCGACAACGACAAGTTCATCGTCCGCCACACAAGTGCCAGGTTTGGGCCCCAAAAAGACATACTCTGTGTGTATTCTGTGTGTGTACTCGTACTCGTACTCGTAATTGTCCTCTAACCTAAGTGTTAATCCATCAATGTTGTTTGTGTGCAGCCTTGTGCCTTGTTCCATCAGCAGCCAACTAATCAACCAATCAATCGATCAATCAATCAACCGAATGAGGACACCGCTCACAACTTTCATGCTTACAGCCCTAGTCCTAGTGTTAATCAGCCTATTAGCGTATAGTCTTAGCCTCATCATCAGCCTTCTTTCTAACTGTCTCTCTCTCTCTCTCTCTATTTCTGTAAAACTCTCTCCCTCTAGTTTGTTGTTGTTGCCTGATAAATGCCTTGCTCGCATTGCTTTAGCTGTGAAACACACATATCTTGCAGAACCTTAGATACATCTTCCAACTATCTTTTCTTCCTTTTCCTCTCAACAGTTTCCACTCAAAGCTCACAGCTGGAGAAGACCCATGCGGGCAGCTCCTTCGAGAGCGCCAGTTCTCTGTACTCCATGCGGGAGGACCTGCTCCATGATGGATCCTCGGAAAAGCAAACCAAAGTGTCGCAGTCTTCGCTTAAGTCCCCCATGGGGGGTTCTGTGGCAGAGTTGACGAAAAAGTCGCCCTCGCATTCGATCAGCAGCACCACGTCCTCGGGCAGTTGTCAGGTGATCAAATCTCCAGCTAAAGATTCCCAGCAGACCCAGGCGGTGGCCACCAGCTCCTCCACCAGTGCCCAGCAAATCAAGGCAGAGGCACCAGAGGCGGTGGCCGTGGCGGTGGCGGCGGTGGCAGCAGCGGTCAAAGGCAAACCCAAACCGGACTCCATATCCGAGGATGAGCGCAGCGAGGTGCGCTACTCCTCTTCCGGCTACTACGAGAGTCCCCACGACGAGGACGACGAGGAGCAGGTGACGACCACGTGCAAGGCACGACGCCTGAGGCACGAGGATAACAAGCGGCGAAAGACCAGCATGAAGCTGGACATCGAGAAGGAGAACATGCGAGCCCTCACTAGTCCCATCAAGAAGGCCGCGGCGGGAAAGCAGCAATCGCTGCAGTCCCCAGAGCAGCACAGCGCTGCTGGAGCCTTGGAGAACGGCAGTCCCAGCAAAATAAAACGTTTCCGTCCGAAGATACGACGACAGTTGCGCAAGAGCTCCCGCGAAGATGTCCTGGCGGCGGCAGTGGCCCGAAGGACTAGGCCCACTATCTATGGCCTGAGCAGCGCCAGTGGGGATACGGAGCTGCTGCTGGATGCCAGCATGACCACCACACTGGGTCCGAGTCCCAGGCCGAGCATTGTGCCCACCACAGCAGCCATAACAACGGAAACCACAACCACAACAGTCATGGGAGCGGCCCCACCGCCGCCGCAGGCGCAGGAGCAGGAGCAGCTGAAGAAGCCCCACAGCTGTGCCACGCCCACATCCCTGCTGTCGCCGAAACTGCCCACAGTAAGCAGCACCCAATCCAAGTCCACGTCGGAGGCGACGTTTCAGCTGAAGGCCAAGTCCATCGAGTCGTTGCGCTCGGTGTCGCCCGGTTCCGACTCCGTGTTCTACAGCGAGGCTGATGGCACGGCGGCCAGTGCCACCGATCAGGGACACTGCCATCACTGCGGCAAGGAGATGGAGGGCAAGCAGCAGGAGCTCGCAGGCGACTCTGTGGAGTCGATACCCTACATCGAACAGGAGGCGGACATTGTGAAGCCGCCATCGGACTTTGCCGACTCCCCGGTGACCACGAAAACCACACAGCGGCTGTACAAGAAAATGGACAAGCGTTTCCGATCCGAGGAGCGCTATCACGCTGGCGAGAGGGGCAGGCACTACAAGACCCGCCAGGAGAACATCAGAGCCAAGAGCGAGGAGCGCGGTCGAGCTCCCAGCTTGCCCAATACTCCTGTTCTGCGTCCGGCCGGCTCTAGTCCCTGTGTCCTGCCCGATATCAACACGGAACAGAACCATCATATCATCTACAAGGGCCACTACGACGAGGGCCGATACACCCGCCTCACGGACGATGATCTCTGGACGCAGCTGGATCATCAGTGTTTCGGTAAAGGTACATGCTGAACTGTCATTGGCCACTGATATAGATGGTTCTTCCTTGCCCACAGATCGTTCGCGGGAGCGCCGTGCCTCTACCGAGTCCGAGAAGGGTTTCCATGCCAAGTACCAGGTGATTCTCCATCGTCTCGTTCAGCGTCGATGCACGCTGGAGATGTATCATCGCCAGAAGAACAACAATTTCCGTAAGTACAAGGAGAACCCTCCCCACCGGACCCTGGGACTTAGTACACTCCCCTTTAGACACCCTGTTTGGCGCACACAACCTTTGAACACCCTGTTTCTTTACAACCAAACAATATTCTAATTTTGGCACAACGTGCGCAATGTTTCGCTAAGAGCGAGAGGAGAGCCATTGCCGGTCAGAGCGGGAGAACTTTTCATAGATAATGAATGGTCGGTCGGTCGGGCGGTGGGTCGATGGCGCTCCGAATTTTCATGACCGGCACTTGGCATAGAGACAGACAGACCGTAAAAAACCAAAAACTATGCTCTTAGTTTTCTTTTTGGTTAGTTGTGGTGCGTGCTTTGTTGTGTGCCGACCGTAAAACGCTTCCCAAATGTGAAAAAAAGTGCGAAAATTGTGAGAGATTACCAAGGCTAGAGTCGATATTTACACAAATCTTAGTTCCAATGATTGGTGGGTAAACAGAGCAGCTGGCGCGCCTGTTTAAGGCCATGATTTGATAAGCCCTTTTCGTTGTTTGTGCCACAGAATTAATAGCCTCGAATTCCACGCCGGATTCGGTGCGCCGCAAGTTGGAGGAGGTCTTAAAGCTAATGCTTTTGGTATGGGCACGTGAAAGTTTTGTGATATCAAAGCTAAGCAACGGCACGAGGGGTAAATAGTGTACGGAACAGATTCCGGAAATAAAAACAAATCTCTTTCTCCACACATACAATCTCTTGATTATGTATTCCGCTCTTTGCAGGCGTGGACAAAACAGTTGTGGTGAAGAGTGATTCGGGGGAGTTCGGTTTCCGCATCCATGGCTCAAAGCCCGTCGTTGTGGCCGCCATCGAGCCGGAGACCCCGGCGGAGAGCTCTGGCCTGGAGGTTGGCGACATTATCATATCGGTTAACGGCGTCCAAGTGCTGGACAAACACCACACCGAGGTCGTGAAGATCGCGCACGATGGCTGCGAGAAGCTGGAACTTCAGGTGGCCCGCACCATTGGTGTCCTGATGCACGAGCAACTGGAGCCCCCCAGCGAGCCCATCTTCAGTGGCTATCTGTGGCGCCAGAGCGGCCAGGCCAAGGGGGCGCCCAATGCCAAGAAATGGGTGCGACGTTGGTTCTCCTTGAGGCCGGATAATTGTCTGTACTACTACAAAACGGAAGACGTAAGTGAATGGAATATTTTAGGGGCACTTTAAACCTCATTGCTCATCGTTTTCCAGGACTCGCAGCCCGTTGGGGCCATGATCATGGCCAAGCATACTGTGGATCTGTGCCCCGTGGACATCGGCAAGCCTTTTGCCTTCAAAGTGGACGCTGGAGAGGGCATACCCATGTACGTGGCCGCCGACTCTGATGATTTGGCCAACAGATGGCTGAATCTGCTGCGCCAGGCTGCCTCCCAGGATAACCAGTGGCTGGACAAGAGGTGTGTGGGATACTGATTTTAGAGAAAAATAACCATTAACGTGAGGCTTCGTTTCTCACATCATTTTCCCCTCACAGTGCCCGGTGCCTGTACCAGGCTCCGACCAGCATTCAGAGGCCTGATTGCTTTGGCTATTTGCTGAAATTGGGCTCAAGGTGGTGCGGCTGGTCGAAACGCTATTGTGTACTTAAGGATGCCTGCCTCTATTTTTACCAAGATGCAAATAGCAAGAGTGCATTCGGTGAGTCACGGGGCCAGCAGCCCGATAGACGGACAGCCAGACAATTAATTGCGTTTCTTTAGGAATGGCCTGCCTGCACGGCTACAAGGTGGCCTCAATGTCCACGAATGCGTCCGGCAAGAAGAACTCATTCGAGATAATACCACCAGAAACGAAATTGCGTCACTATTATTTCTGCACTGAAAGCGAAATGGATAAGAAGCGGTAGAGTAGCACCACACGACATACACCTTGCATCTATCTATCTTATGACCTTCCTTTCAGCTGGATATCCGCCTTGGAGTACTCCATTGATCGCTGGATAAAGTCCGGGTAACTAAGGTTGAAGACACGCTCCAGATCGGCCTTGGGCAGCCGTCGAAAGCGTCGAAGTTTCAGCTACTTCATGGATTAAAACTAAAGATAATTAAACAAAACGATTTTCAAACATTGTTCGACACTAGTACGGGTACTACATTACATATAATATATACTTATATATATATATATATATATAGAACTTAAGCCAAGGAGAAACCACAACTAGTTATAGTCCAAGATTAGATGATTGCTTAGTCCAAGGAATTTAGTCGATCATTCAAAGCGGGTTTAAAACTATTTTGAACATTTGAAAGGAATACAATTGAATTTTTGGTATGTATTCTTACAAAATATATTCATATATAGGTATATACACACATATAATACTTATGTTTAGTGAGGTTGTCATGTCATACACATATACATATATATAGTATATATTTAGCCACAAAAAATGAAATGAGAGAAATGATCATACAGCAGACCAAAAAATTGATTGTCTAATGTATATAGGAATTCGTATAGATTGAAAATGTTTAGGTATTCAAAGGCTCAAAGTTTAGATAAATGTCTATTTACAGAAAAACAAGCGTAAACTAGAGACCAAAATATTTGAAATTACTTAAAAGGAAATTAATATTTCAAAACAAAAAAAATTATGCAAAAAAATATTTATTGTTACAGAAATCGAATCCCTATACTTTCCTTTCCCGTATGCCTCATAAACGAACTCTTAGTTAGACACACCACAAATTATGATAGAGATTTTTTATAGGCTTTGACTTTTTTTGATAGGTTGAAGGTTTTTTTAGAACGACAGACACACACACACATTTCATGGTAGATCAAACAATAATTATATAGAATATTATGTACTTCATGTGTATGTACATGCATTCAGAATCCAGTAGTTACTTTGTCATTTAAAGATATGATCTTTAAAATGCTGATTTCCCTTTTTTTTGGGTTCAGTGTTTGTATGAGTGAAAAAGCTTCATTTTTAGTCAGCAAAACCAAAAACCAAAAATAAATATATATATTTTATATATTTTAAATAGAGATTTCCACGATAATAAATGTATGCATTATGATTATATTATATTATATACAACACATACAATATACATACATATACAAGCAGAGACAGCCATTTTATGTTGGAAACAAAACAAAACAAAACAAAACCAAAAAAAACAACAACCAAAGACAACAACCAAACAGAAATGAGGCAAAAAGAAAACTAAATAAGAGCTTTAATTATTAAATAAAGAATATACCAAGAACAAATGACAAATGCGTGTACTGCTGACAGCCCCCAGGGGCTTTGAAATGCACCTAAATATCATTAATTAGGCTCAACAATCCCCCACTCCCATTCGCATTCGATTCGAGGAGATGCGAGATCCCAGGGCCCAACCCAAAACCCCAAACCCCAAACCCAAAACGATCTTGTGCCGCTCTCCTACCTGCCTCCTACCTGCCGCTAATGTCGGGCCAACGAAGCATTTCAAATGCGATCAATGAACCTGTTGCCGGCCCCACACTCTAGCCTACCCCTCCCCTCCCCTCTTCCCCACAGCACAGCCCAGACAGTCAGACACCCAGTTGGCCACATGTTTTACACAATTTTCAAGTAATTTATTTTAAAATCGTAAAGCGATGCAAAATATGCACAGAGCAAAGTAGAGAAACCATCAAGATTCAATCAATGGGATACCCTGTAGTCTTTGCATGCAATTCAACAGGAGGGAAACCAATCCGAGAACAACTTTACCGGGTGAAGTGAATTGGTATTAGTATTCCAAATACATAGTTTTGCTTGGTATTTGGGGATTGTCATGTCCCCATTTCGATTCAAGGGCACACTACTGCTGCTACTTACGTTTTTTTTATCAATTCTAGATGACATTTCGTGGATATCTATAAGTACTACCAAATAGGATTTGTGTATCTGGCTCTCTGGCTACTCAATCTTTTATGTGAAACACAGTTTGGGTCGATGCACTTTCTGTCCTCCTGCTATAAGCATACATCTCTTCCAATACTATATACCCTTCTAATCTACATACAATTACTGGGTATCAAAGCAGCAGCAGGCACACAACAGCAGCAGCAGCAGGCAGCAGGCAGCAGGCAGCGGCAGCAGCAACAGTTGCTGATGGGGGAAGTCAACGACTAGCATAACAATTCGCTCGCCCTATGAGGCGGCTACCGTTTTCTCTTTGCTTCTCTTCCCCTTCTTCTTTAACTACATCTTCTCTGTGCTGCTTCTGCTGTTACTTCTACTGCCTCTGCTTTGGTTCACCGTTTACTGTTTTGCTATTTCTCCGGCAGCAACAAAAACAATTTAGTTCCACTGTGCACTGCCTTAATTACAGGCACAGCAGCCTCTGCCTCTGCCTGTGCCTGTGCCTCTGTTTTGTCTCTGTTTTTCGGGGCCCGCTTGCAATCATCACCATCATCATCATTATCGTGATCATGACGAACGTAACTCCCTCTCTTTTCGGACAAACATACTCCCTCTCCCTCAGCCGCTCACCTCAGAAGCAATGCCAGCGAAGACCCTGACTGTTTTTTGGATCTTTTGTTTCCTTCTTTCCTTTTACCACTTGACCGCATTGATGCTGTTGCCTCGAGAGATGAGAGGTTGCACAAGAGGTTGCCAGATTGTTGGCTGCAAAAACTGTTAGATGATCTATAAAACGAGGATATACAAGAGGTATACCTCTCTTACCTCTCTTCTCTCCCTTGCAAAGGGCTAGGGATCTACAACCCTTTCAAAGAACTATCCCAAACCGTTTATAGAGTGTGCCAAGCCTAAGCTTATCACTCACGACCGCATGTACATGTATTTATGGGGAAACACAACCCCTCCATTGATACGCTTACTTTTGGTAATCTGCGTCTCCGATCAAGCGTTAATATAACCAATAAACATTCATAAATACACCTCGTTTGAAGTGAATCATTACTTTACAACCCTTTTTTGTGTGTGGAAGCCTTACTTATCTTCCTCTTTTGGCCAAAAGAAATTCCGATTAGTCATTCCCCCACCCATAGCCAGACATCACACTTCTATAAAGAGCAAAAAAAAACTCCCCCTTCAAATGACTGAACAATAAACGGAGAGGACTACCAGAATTACACCCTCTCCAGGGGTACGGAACCCCTACTCCTACCCCTACCCCCACTCCTACCCCTACCCCTTCCTCCAACGACTGCTGAGGCAGCAGCAATCTGGCAACACTCGGTGCACCACCAGTCTCCCATTCTACCCTCCGTCGCACCCTCCAACGAGCAGAAACAACAACAAAAAAAAAAGGTAAGAAGCAAGGCAGTCGGTAGTCGTTGGACGGTAAACTGGTAGCGCTCTAACTGACAATAACTCGTCGTACGTATGCACGTTCCACGCTCCGTAATATCTGTCCGCCCGCTCTGTCCGACTGTCCGTCCAGCAGCGTGCGACTGGCGGACGGTTTGGGATTTTTGCTTCTTACTGGTTTTTCTCATAGCTGCTACTACCACTGGTATCTCTCTCTCTCTGTACTCGTTGGATTTTGTGTGCTTACTCTCGCAGTACTTCTCTCTCGGTATCTGAGAGATTCTCTTTCTCTCTCTGAACGTGTTCCGGGCCTTCGTAGCTAGTTTTTTGCGGCTCAGTCTTCGACTGTTGATCGTGGTTAAAGCACCTGCGCGCGGATTCGTGTTCCACCGAAAAAAGTGAACTGCATTTTGTATGTCTATCCATCTCTCTCTCTCTCTCTCTCTCTCTTTGATTGTGTGTGTGTGTGTGGATGAGTGAACTTGTTGCACAGAGAAAAGCGCTTTTCAACTGCAACTGCAACTGTGGCTGCTCCGCTCCGCGCCGCGCCTCGCCTCGCCGCTCTGCTCTGCTCTGCTCCTCTCGCTCGCGCTGTGTGTGGGAAGAGTTTGGGGACTACTTGAGGAGCGAATTGGTAGCTGCACTGGCTTCAGCTCCTATTTCAAACAAAATGTAGAAAAACACATTTCAGCTGCCGTGTATCTTTCGTGTTGTGTTCGTTTCGAGTTCGGTTCGGTTCGGCTCGGTTCATTTCTTTGCGATCGCTTTTGGGGTTCGTTTCGGGTTTTTGTGGATACGAAAGATACTTTTGTTTGTGTGTGTGTGTGTGTGTGCGTCCCGTCCCGTTCCATTCCGTTGTTGTTGTTGCTGGTTGTACGTGGTTTCGGGCCCCATCTACGTGGTTTTGTGGTAGCTGACTGCCGTTGATGCTGCTCCCGTAACACCCCCTTGCCAGCCCGCCCCCGCCTCTTTCCCTCTAGGGTCTGGGGGACCGTGATCGTGCCGTGATTTGTATCTCAAAAGAGCAGTAACTGTGTGCGTGTTTCACGACATGCTCGTGCGTGCGTGTGTTAGCTTTGGAATGGAAATGTTTATCGAAAAACCACAAAGATATCATTAATTAATAATACTATCTTTTATATTATAGAAATTGTGTGGAAATGCATTCGAATTTTGCATCAAAGTGAACAAAACGATCCACAAATATACAGCCAAAAATATTTCTTGAAACAAAATCAAGTTCTGTACGGAAGTTCGGTACGGAAAATTTCATCGTTAATCATAAAACAATGCCAAGCATTTTAAAGCTTAAAAACTAACAAGAAATACCATAAAAAAAAATCCACAAAAAAACTTGCTCAAACTACTTTGGATACTTGGGAGCTCTACTGCCCAGCCACCATCATCATTGGCACCACCAGCATTTGAAAGCTTGTAGAGCCTGAGGCTTTCTTCCCCCAAAGGTAAGACGGAGAACCGACCCAGACGACAGACGACAGACGGCAGGCCCTGCCCACTACAATGAACACTGAAATTCCTTAGTAGTTGATTTTTTCCTTAGCTGTTTCTTAGGGCCAGCAGCTAATTATTTTCTTTCTTTATTTTTGTATTTTTGCGTTGGCCAAAACCAAAAAAACCAGCGAGTGGCCAAACCGACGAGTAGATAGCGAGAGAGAAAACCTGCTTCCATATTGACAGAGAGACAGAGAGAGAGAAAGAGAGAGAGAGACAACGTTGGAGGCAACTGTCGACCGTCTGCCGTAGCGGCTTCCACTACAACTGCATGTGCCACTGTCATTGCCACCGAACTCAGTGTGGTGCCACAGCAGCAGCGGCAGCAGCAGCAGCGCTCTGCCCCAGCCCCATCCACAGGCACAGCCGCAGCCGCAGCCCCAGCGTTTCCCCCCATTGACAGCGCCGCTGTCTGTGGCGCTCGCCCGGCTCTGGGCTCTGTCTTTGGACCGGGCTCTGAGTCGCGTTCGGGCCAGGCCCGTACTCGAAAAACCTTCGCTTGGAATTCTTGGCTTGTTTTTTTTTCTTCCACTGCTCTGTAAACCAGTTCACTTGTAGCCAGTGCCAGTGGCCAGTGGCCCTCTCTGTCTTCTCTCTATCTCTCTCCCTCTCTCTGTGCCATCGTGCTCGATTCGGATCCGGTTTTTATACCCGTTGCTACGAGTAGGCTATAAGGGTATACCATGTTTCTGTGGATCTATGCAACAGGCAGATTTCAAACCAACCAGAAGTATTCGTTATCGGTATCAAAATTTACTTAAATACCAAAAATCATTGGAATAGTTTAAGATATGGATGATTTTCGGTTTTATAAAGAGCCTTATTATCTACCAAAGGGCCTAAAATCAGCGAAAAGTAAGAACAAGATGTTGGGATCCAAAATGTATAAGAACTTAGCTCCAATTAAGACAATTTATACATCATATACATATCTATGTATCTCATTCGAAACATAAGAGTTTTTGTGGTTCAGATACTTCCCAATAGCGGGTATCTGATAGTCGGAATATCCAGAGCTATAACCATGTCTTACTGGTTTGGGTTTGGTTTTGGTTTTAGTTGTTTTTGGTTTTTTTTTTTGGTTATGGTTTTGTTCGTGGTCGCGGTCTTGGCTTGGCCTGCCGTCCCCAGCCCTGGCTTCAGTTTCAGTTTGCCGCGCGCTTTAATTGTTCAGAACGTGTGTCCAAAGAGGAAACGCAATTGCCGCAAGCTTCTGTTGGGTACGGCTCGCTTCAGATTCGGATTCAGATTCGGATTCGGTCTGTGGCTCAGCCCCAGCCCCAGTTCCAGCCCCAGCCCCAGCCTCCGCTTCAGATTCAGACTCCAGGCCGCAGCCCCAGCCGCAGCCTCCGCTTCAGATTCATTCCCAGCCCCAGTTCCAACCTTCGGCTTCATCTTTGCTTCAGTTTCGGACCCTGATCATCATCATCGTCATCTACATCTCTTGATTTCTTTTAAATGCTTTAGTATTTTTTTCCATCTTCGGTTTTCCTCCTTTTTTTTATTTTCTCTTTTTCTTGTAGTAAAACGCCTCCCGCGCTCTCACAGTCTGGGTTGGTTTTTTTTTTGGTTGCGGTTCTATAAAGTTATTGGCTTTTGTTTCGCTTCAGTGGAGGAGATCTATTTTGAATGTTCATTGTGTCTGGTTTATGGGCAATTTGGTGTGTGTCCAAAACAGATTTTTAGCATAAGAATGGTCCGAGCCGAGCCGAACATAACATTTTATTACATTTTACCTCTTTGGGTGGGTTTTTCTTTCTTTTCGATCTTCGGTTGCCAGTTTTTTCTTCTTCTCTGCCATTCGGTTGCAACGACTGGTGGTGCTGCTTCAGAAGGGGGAAATCTGTTTAATTGCCTTTTGGCAGGAAAATAGAAATTAATTAAAAGACGTTAAACAGTCGTGATAAACCAGACAATCCACAAAGCGAATGGAACAATGGCCACTCAATTGATCGTTAGACGTTGGTTTTTTTTCGCCATATTCGGAGGGAGACACGCCTCGGCTGTGGCACGTGTCTACGAGTATAATTCAATCTATTCGATGTTGTTCTTGGAGGATGGATAGTCCGTAAAAACTGTCTGGCCTGATGGCAATATGAATATTTCAGGCAGAAAATGGTTACAGGTTTGGCTGGGGTTTCGATATGGCAACAAGATTGATTATTCAATATGATTTTTGGCATTTTATTTAGAATATCTTTTGGCTACATCTTTAGTATAAACGCTACCCAAAAATATTAACATAAATTTCATCAAATAAATAAGAATTTACACACAAAAGAGTCTACGGAAAAAGTAGCAATCCCATTTACAAAAGAATCTTAAAAACTCTATTCATGGGTGAAATCTCGAGTTCGAGTGAAAAGAGCAGCACAATGTGCTCAGGAAATTTATGAAGAGATCGGCTTAGGCATAGAAAAGTAGATTACAGAGACGGGGAGTCGAGCCGGATTAGGGCACAGAAAGAACATCATCTTGAAGTCAGAAAGAAGTCAAGTGTAGCGACAACATCAAGAATCAATCACTTGGAATTAAAACTATAAATAATACTTTTGCATAAAAGAAGGTATCAGAAGTAGCCATATTTCATGCCTTTGAGCCTTGTTCCCTTGATCTGATGTCGTCATAGCTTTAAAGCATTTTCAATTTCGACTAACGATAGTATATCAATCCTTGTAAATGCAGACTGCAGCTGCGTTCCCGAACCCATAAAACTTCATTAGCAGTTGTTCATTTTGTTCGGGCCCCAGTCTTTTCCCCACCCATCAGGCACCACAAAACATGGCCGCGAAATTAGCAAAGCTTTTAAATTAATGGCCAGCGCACACATAGAGCAGTAGAGAATGGGTAGGAAGGGAGGTGGGGTGGCAGAGCACTCCAAATGTGTAAATCTTATGGATATTAATCAAGAAAATTATATAGACAAGGCAGTGGCTCTGAAAAGCAGCAGCAGATCGGAGGCAGTGGCAGTGGCGCAGAGCGCCTCAAAAAACAGGAGATCGGAGGCAGTAACTTGTTTTTCCATCTCTCTGATGCTGGACCAGGGGCACAAGGCAATGATTATGCTAGATTTTTAATAGCTTTGACTATAATCTCTGATGCCAGCCAGCCAGCCAGCCCCCCCTCCTTTAGCAGCCTTCTAGCCGAAAGGGTTTCCAGATTAACGCATGTGAAGTGCAGGGTCGGGTCTCTTCTCTTCTTCGACTATAATTATAAGTCTGCCGCTCTGCCGCTCTGCCACTCGGTCTCTCTTCTCTGGGTTTTTGTATCTTTTTCTTGATTATTAGCTACCTCCATAGTCCAGACACACACACATAGAAAACGTATCCCGAAGGGATTAAAAAATGCTTGCCCAAGAGCCATTCCTTCGTGACCCTTTTCTCCCCCGACCACTGGTCCGTCCCGTCCCGACCCGTCCCTTCTTCTGTCGGGCTGTCGTTCCCGTCGCGTTGTTTGTTGTTTCTGTTGTTGCACGGAGTTGGTGTTTTGTAAGCAAACTAAAGTGCATACAGGCCTCTCGACCCAGAAGATACGCGTACGTAATGGACTACAGGGGTACCCTAGAAACGAGCACCCTGCCTGCTTGATCTTAGAGAAAGCTGTGGAAAACTTTTGAAGACGCAGTAGAACATTTTTATAGCCAATTTTCCTCAAGTCATTGTTAAAGTTAACACCCATTAAACATAGGAAATCAACAACAGTCTATTTTCGCACAAGATTGTTAAGATTAGCATTCAATTGAATACTTTCTCACTTTGGAGTTATTCCTTCTAGTTTTTTTTATAGATTTAAGGATGTTAGTGGTAGATTTTAACAAGCAGTTAAGGAAATATTTCTAATATTTCGAAGAGCACACACAGTTTTAGGTCTAAGATGGTTACATCCCCATATATTTCAAACGTTTTTCGTGTAATGCAGCAGCGCTCTTCTGTTAATTTGTTTTTTATGCTTCTTTCTGGTGTTAAGTTAGTGCAGCAGATTAGCGTAGTCTAGAGACTAATAATTCTCATTCGTTCTTCTTAGTTCATGCCTGGGAATTGTATTTGAAAAGCCCTTTGGTCTGAGCCCCAACTGTACCCACATCCCAACGAAAGCTTTTGCCGTTAGGTTCCTCATCAAAGTTGTGTGTTCTGAAAAGTCCAAGTACCAATCAATATTGTAGTCGAAAAGGCTAAGGGATACCTACATTTCAGTGGCCATTTGCATCAGCTGATCCGAAGGGAAATTATTAAAGCTAAACTTATCCATTTCGCGCTGGGCCCTCTCTCCTGCCTCTCCAAAAGAGCTGGAATAGCGCTCCGTGGTGGTGCCTGATGTCTCGATTTGGTAGAGCCTCGGTCCCTTTTCCTCGTCCCAGCCGGCCAGCATAATGGTAACTGCAAAGGGACGAGCGCCGCTGTACATGGTTTGGGCATGGAGAAAGCTGTCCACGCGCTCGCAGAGTGCCTCCAGGGAAATGGCACGCTCATGCCTCGAACGGAAGCTCGCGGCCTCCAGGCGGGTCAGTTCCACCACCACGTTGCAGTCGCTCATCAGGCCACCGACGGCCATGCCGATGGTGCCATCGATGGCGAAGATGCGTTTATTGGCCTCGGGATCGAACAAAGGGTTTATGTATAAGTTCTGAACGGCCAGAACAACAGAGTCCTTGCCGCGAATGCCCATGACAGTGCCACTCTTCTCTGCGGCCCTGGTGGCATAGTCGATTTGGAAAACACGACCATTTGGGGCATACTGCGCGGTCGACAAATCAAACTGCACGAACGGCAGGCATTTTGCTTAAAGGATACTTATTTTTAAGGATATTTTTCTTGTACTTACGCCCATGCCCTCGGAATACATGGCGGAGACAGAAATATCGTAGATATTCGTACATTTAACAAAAAGCCAACTAGTTTCAAGGAAATGAGAGATAGACACGTGTGTGGGGATGGCTTCGAACAGCCTACTCTCTCATTCCGTTCGTTAGAGGTGTTACATATCCTTTGCACAATCGAATGTACCCTTTCAAAATCCAATTGTGATGGGCATTGAGACGCATGGACATCGTAGGCCATCATCAGCCGAGGGACAAAACTTAGCGTCTACTGCCACCACTCCTCTGGCCCTTACACTCTCTCTCTCTCTCTCTCTCTCTCTCTCTCTCTCTCTCTCTCTCTCTGGGTTTTCTATACAAATACCAAATCCGTTTGCGCAGTGTCCATACGTGCGTGAGTGTGTGTGTGTGTGTGTTTGTATATTTTTCTGCTTTTTTTTTATCAACCAAGAAACCTTTCCACTGGGCCCTGGCTCGGGGTCTGGCCTCAGATGTGTGTTTACACAAAAACCCAGCAAACGACGACTCGATCCCGGACCCAGAGGTCTGGTCTCTCCAGAGCCCACAGAGTGAGGCAGCAGCAGCAGCGGCAGCAGCAGCAGCACCAACAGAAAGAAAGAGGAAAAAAAGTGGCAGCCAAATTGCTCCTCGATATCTTTTATTTTCCTCCAGCAGTAGTTGGGTCTTCTGGCGGGTTTTCGTTTTTTTTTTATTATATGTGTGCATACCCGCGTACCGTGCCCTGAGATACTCTCACACACTCGCACACACACACACGGAAAGATACGATTTTAAGCCTTTGGCTTCATTTGGTGGGCAACGCAACCGTTTGCGCAAACGTTTCTGGGTCTGGGCCCTCTGTATATGTGTATCTTTGTATCTCTGTGGCTATAGGATGTATCTGTGTGTCTGTAACTCTCTCTCTCTCTGTCTGCCTCGCTGTACTCGCACTACGTGCCGTCGCTTTTGCTGATGATGTCCATTATTTACATTAATTTTATTTGTTTTTCTTATTTGGCTTGACGTTTTTCAAAAGTGCCGATGTTTCAAAAAGATAATGAACGCTGGAAATCATACATTGTATGTACACAGACAGTGTGCTGGCAGATCAATGGGGGGGATGGGGATGGGGGGAGTATCGGTCAGACGACAGTCATAAATGCAAAAGTGAGATACCTAGAAAAAGTACGAGTATTATGGAAAAAAAAACCCCCAAAAACGGGTTACACATTTCGAGGTTTTCGAGGCTACCAGAAATACGTGAGATTATCGGGAACGGAACGGCAATCGCCCTGAGATATTATAGGCAATCGCTCATAGGGGCAATGCGCGCTGATTAGATCAGCGTTTTGTGGGGGGATTTATTGGATAATAAAGAGATCAGATAAGTTCCTGATGAAATTCAATCTATGCAGATAGAAGAGAGAATATTCTCCATTAATCAAACCCTAAATGTATTAGTTAATTAATAACTTATATGGCTGGGATTAGTTAGGAGTGTGCTAATCATATCTGAGTTGACGAATCAATAAAGATAAATTTGATTGAATATTGGGCAGATATTTAGATACATAATAGCATCAAAGGAGTTAACGTTTAAGATATATGTATCTTTGCCCTTGATATGTAAAAATCACAGTTCCAATCTTCCTTTTGTTAATGCATTATAATTATTCCTATAAACTATCTAAATTCCCGCAAAAGACAGTCTTCGATAGAGCCATCAAGAGGAATGAGAGAACACTTATCCCAGTCATGATATCAACTACTTTATAGAGCTAATCTGACAGCGCACTCTTCCGTCAGACAATGGCAAAAATCATTTCTATAGATAAGACCCCCATTGCCCCAACAAATGGATAGTCACCGCCCAAAAGAAACGGTATCTCCAACAATGGGGCGCCTCTTCAACTGTCCCAAGAGATCTAAAGCTCCAAGAAATCTAATCTGTGGAGTAGACTTTGGTCCAACTCTGACGATCTCCATCCACCTCTGATTATCACTGGTTTGAGGTGGCAGCTGTGGATGGAGGTGATCATGACACTGCAGCATTTTGCATTACGATCCACTCTGCCAGACAGAGAATGATTCTGGCAAATGATAAGCAAAACTGTCATTGCACGGACCCAGACCCTGGAGACGGTGGAGCCACCAAGTGGAAGAGTCATTCTCAGTGCTTTTGCGCAACTGGTTATATATTTAAATGAGGCTTAAACAAAACAGCAGAGACAAGAAATGAAGCCCAAGTTTGGGGTGGCGAAGATTTAAGTACCCTTTTTAAAAACCTCTGCCATAATAAGTATTTCCAGTGTAGATATCATAGTTATCCGATTTGAATTATTTTTGGTCTGCAAACCAGCATTTGGTTTTCCATCGAGCGATTGTTCCAATGAAGAACTGCTCCGATCCTGAGATCTTGGAGTGCATTCCTCTTATAAATCGCAATACCCTCTCTGTCAGAGTATAAACGCCTAAAGATGGAGGAAATGGTGGAGATGGGCGGGGGGTTATAAACGGGCAACAAATTTTATGGTTCGGCCATCATTATGATCATCATTATCTGCATTATTTTGTTATTATCGTGATGATCACGTTTCCCAGTGCTCTGCCTCTGCCGCCAGCTGGTGCTGCTGCTGCTGCTGCTGCTGCGGCATGGCACTCAGAAGTCGCTCCTGTTGCGTAAATCCAGTAAGCAGTCGGTCGAGGTTCGAGTCATTTACCAAAGCGGACGGTACGGGACGGCAACTCCGGCCGCGACTACAGTTTTCTATCTTTGTATCTGTGTGTGAGCCCCTGTGGTATCTGTGTAGGGGCGCACACACACTCTCTCTCTTCCTCGCTCGCTCTGGGTGTGTGTGTGTGTGTGTGTGTGTGTTTATATCATTACTACTGTGCTGTGCTGCTGCCTCTCCTCTATAGAGGTAGTCAGGTTTTTTTAGACGCACAATCTTATCTAACCTGCCAGCAGCACCGACAACTGCGACTCGTTTTCTCAGTTTAGTTTCACTCGCCATCGACGCTGCCGTCGCCGCTTGCCGCCGCTGCCGTTCCTGATAATAATTTAGTTTCAACAAAATTCATATGAAAAAAAAGAAACAACAACACAAAAAGTACCACAGCCCTCGCGTAACACTAATGTGATGAAATATTTACTTACCCTGTGATAAAAAAAAGAAAAACAATTCTGCCACAATTAAAATTATTGTGTAAAAACCTATAAAATGATACAAGTCCCATGATACAAAATGTATATATATGTATATCCCATGATATATGGATAAAATTCGGTTTATTGCGTGATAAGAAGTGCAAAAAACAAATTTGAAGATCTTAGATCATATAAAACGTGAGTTACAATGGGATGTGATAAGAGAGACCTTTATGATTCAAGGAACTCTGCTTTTGCTCATAAATTTAAGCACTGTAGGTCATAGGGGAGATGAGTTAGTAGAGGTTTCTAATAGTTAACGTGAAGGATATTGAAAATAATTCACTTGAGAAGCTTTAAAACTCAAAACAGGGATAATAGCTAGACCAGAAACCGGGTTACTTTGAGTTAGTATGGTTCAATTTGCAAATATCCAATTGAAACATAACTAAATCGGTTTTCCTTCCTCTAAGAAGTCTAAGAAGCTGAGTTACTTTAGTATAGTCTGTATATTTCAAGAGATCATGCAAAAATATATCAAAATGGATTATTTGACAAATTTTAGCACTCTAGCTCCTACAGAAGATGAGTAACTTTGGGATAGTCTTTATATTTGAAGAGATACTCACTAAAAATATATCAAACTTGATTATTTCGCTATAAAGAAGCCCAAAAAAACAAACTTCAGGACTCTAGCTCCCACAGAAGCTGAGTTACTTTGGGATATTCTGCACATTTCAAAAGATACTCATGCAAAATATATCAAACTTGACTATTTCGCAATAAAGAAACCCAAAGAAACAAACTTCAGCACTCTAGCTCCCACAGAAGCTGAGTTACGTTAGGTTATAGCGTATAAAACCGTCTCAAAATAGATATGGAAGAGCCAACTCTGAATCCCCTTGGGTTTATCATGCTCGGGTATACCCTATAGCTGTTTATTGCACTTGAAACGCAATTAAGATAAGCCCCGTATTCCCATTCCCATCAAAAGAGGGTCTGCGACAATTAACACGACACAAAGTTTTTACTAATTGTTATTTACCACCCACTCACTCACCGCCCCTCTATCTGTCTTACAGTTCTAACGGAATGTGAAAGGCCTCCATTATGCCCACGGAAAGCTCATCCAGCGACGTCGCCGGCGGCGGAGGAGGAGGAGGCGGCGCCATTCCCATGCTTCGACCCTCACGCATGGACCAGTTCATGTCCACAGTGGCCGCAGCTGCGGCTGGCGGTGGCGCCTCTGATGGGTCCAACAGCGGGGGCGGCGACTCGAGGAGCTCATCGGCCAGCAGGATCTCGGCGGCAGCAGCCGCCTACGAAACACAATTGGCCTACCAGCAGCACCTGGCCGCCGCCGGACTGCATCCTGGTCCACCGCCACACCATCGCGAGATCTCCGCCTTTGTGCCCGTGCTGCCCACGCGACAGGCACTGGAGGCCAAGGCGCGGGCCGGGAGCAACTCCAACTACGAGATCATTGCCATGATGGCCGACAAGCGAAAGGAGTTGGCCCTAAGGGAGGCGGCCGCTGCTGCGGCGATGCTGGGACGCGGTGGTCCGCCGGGCGGTCCACAAGGTCCGCCACCCGGTGTCCTGTACGCACCGCCACCCCCACCGCCATATCTAACCGGACCGGGTCCCTCGCCCACGGGTGCGGGAAGCTTTCCATTCCCCCCCGGTGCCGCCACAGCAGGTCTCTTTCCCCCCGGTCTCGGGCCGGGGATGCACGCCGGACTGGATCGTCGTCTGTTGCGTGCACCCGGACGCGCCTCGAGGCCCAAGAAGCAGTTCATTTGCAAGTTCTGCAACCGTCAGTTCACCAAGTCCTACAATCTGCTGATCCACGAACGGACGCACACCGACGAGCGACCCTACTCCTGTGATATTTGCGGCAAGGCGTTCCGGCGACAGGATCACTTGAGGGATCACAGGTGAGCGTTCTACAGAGTCTGTGGAGACTGTGGGGAGTGTCTGCATTGGTAATTGCTGTCATGCCCACAGAAATAATGGTTTCAATAATGGGGTTGGGGTGGTGGTCGAATGTGGGAATACCCTAAGGTGGTATCTCATCACATGAGGAAGAGTCGAAGGAGAATGAATCTGATGGGGCAGATTCTTAGATACGAACAAGAAGAGGCTTCAGTTTATTCAGTTTAGAGTTTATGATGGAATGGAAAAATACTCTTTTGGATACTCTTTGCATATAAAATCTTACTTTGATCGAATGGGAGAAATCTATCTCAAGGGGGGGATATTTCATTCCAAAGACAAGTTACTCGTACGAGATCTATTTATACGACGTTTCCCACCACTTTAACTAGCGCCCAAAAGCAGAACCCATATGCCAGTAGGCAGTCAGTATTTCCATCCTTGTGCGAGAGTACGAGAGTACGAGAGTACCACACTTGACGCTGGATCGCCGTCCAGCAAGCAAAGTTAATTAACTTTGTTGGTTTTCCGTTTGGGGCTTCGACCAGCCTCGCATTCGTGGCCAAGAGGGGAGTAGGAGGAGGGGTAGGGAGGATCAGGCAGGTCTGAGAGACTCAAGTGTCGGCCTGTCCGAGCGGAGCGTTCTGTCTTTTGATCGTTCGGTATCGGTCCATTTGTCGTTTGTTTGCTTTCCGCCGCGGGGCTAATACCTCTTTCGGGGTCCGCATCGAGCATCAAAGCAGAAGAGGCAGCAGCAGCAGAAACGAGAAGAATCTGGAGACCCCACCAGATCGCAGAGAACCTGTTTTTTCGGTCTCTGAAGCAGCAACAGCAACAGCAACAGCAGCTGCTGACGGTTGATGCTGGGGCTTAGGCTGAGGCTGGCGACTGGGGACTGGGGACTGGGGACTGGAGACTGGGTACTGAGGCTTATGTCCAACAACAAGTGGACGCCATTGCCAAGATGGCGGCCATAAACATAAAAAATACACAATAATATCAGTGGGAGAGCACTGCAGTTGCAAGAGCCAGAGATAACTGTCAAATGGAGCTACCAACTTGGGGCTTGGTAGCCGCCACACGCCCACGCATTCCTGCAATTCAATGTCTCACCTTTGTATTCTGTTCTCGTCTCTTCCCCTGTCTTTCCTGAAGGTACATCCACTCGAAGGAGAAGCCATTCAAGTGCACCGAATGCGGCAAGGGCTTCTGCCAGTCGCGCACTCTGGCGGTGCACAAGATCCTGCACATGGAGGAGTCGCCGCACAAGTGTCCTGTGTGCAGTAGGAGTTTCAACCAGCGCTCCAATCTGAAGACCCATCTGCTGACCCACACGGATCACAAGCCGTACGAGTGCTCCTCCTGCGGCAAGGTCTTTCGCCGCAACTGCGATCTGCGGCGACATGCCCTGACCCATGCCGTGGGCGAAGTCAACTCCGGCGACTATGTGGACGTTGGGGAGGAGGACGAGGCCCGTCATCTGAGTGGGGATGAAGAGGACTCCCTGCTGGAGGTGGACTCCCCGAGGCAGAGTCCTGTCCACAACCTAAGCGAATCCGCAGCAAACGGGGAAAAGGACGAGGCGGAGCGCATGCGTCTGAAGAGGAAGGCACCTGTCGATCAGGAGGAGAGCGAAGAGGAGTTCGATGACTACGACGAGGAGGAGGAACTGCAAGAGGCAGCAGGCAGTTTTCCCAGAGAAGAACTCCGGGAAGAAGACGAGGACTTTGAGGCCGAGGAGGAGGTGCAGCAGGAAGTGGCTCCGGTGGCACGGCAGTCATCAGCCGCTCCTGCTGTCATTGTTACGGCTGGAAATGGAAAGCCGGAGCGCCAGGGGGTCACCCACTGTCACCACGAAGGCGGGGAAACCTACACCATGCGACCGCATGGCGAAAAACAGCAGGAAGAGCCATTATCCATGCCCCCCAACGGACCACCGCCGCCACCTGGTTTTGTGGCTAATCTGAGGTATGCCCCGCCTGGCGGTGCACCACCAGTGGGTGTACCACCTGTTGTTCCACCGCCACCGCACCATCAACCGCATCCCCATCTCCTGCCACCCAACGGAGATCCCTATCTGCCGATACTCCATGTGCGTCGGGATCTGCACCACAAGAGCCTCAATCTGAGCAAGGGGGCACCAGCCCCGCCCCCCACACCGCCCACTATCATAACCCAAGCACCGGAGACGAGCAAGCCACCGAATCAGCCGCTGCACTCGCCCCACGAGGCAATGCCCAGCTTTTTGGGCTCGATTCCCATGCGCAAGAGGATTCTGCCGCCGCCGACGATCGATCTGATGGATCATCATCATCACCACCATCATCAGCGGTCGTATATCGAGAATCAGAGCATCTATGCCCTGAATATGTCGCGGCATCCGCCACGCCAGTTGTTGGGGAAACCACCGAGCACAGAGACGAGTGGTCCAGCCACAGAAAAGGGTCCACCACCACCTACAACGCAGAGACAGTCGGTACAGTCGGTACAGTCGGTACAGACGGTGCAGGCGGTACAGTCGGTGGTGGCACCACCTCCAGTTGCACCGCCTCCTGCCCCTAGACGCACGGGCTTCAGCATTGAGGATATCATGCGACGCTGAGAGCAGACGGATTTAGTACACTATGACAAGATTGTTCCCATGGATTCCAGGGGATTCCTATTCCCCTGAACGCTATTTTAGAGACAAGTGCACTTTTTAGTACATTTTAGTACAATAAACCCTCTAGACTAAGATCTAAACATAGTGCTTAACTAACTGTTGTTGCATTTTATAGAAAAGTAGCATTTACTTTTAGATCCCAGCATAAATATACACCCTACCATATACCATATACCATATACCATATACCACATACTATATCGATCTAGTTTCGATTAGTGCGAGAGTCTATCGATTAGTTATCGATTTCGGCCAACACTAAGTGTTTGCTGTATTTCCTTTCCAAGCGAGTGAATACCAACCTTTAATTTATGTTTCTTTTTAGTCTCTAAGATTAATCTTAATGAGTGAATAAAATAGAGATGTAAATCGTTAAATCGTTAGGCGATTTTGCTGTTGGGAAAAAATGGTTGAAAGTAAAAGTTGGCTAAGTGAAAAAAAAAACAACATAAACAAAAACAAAACAACATTCCTGTTGAAGAATTTTGTCTACATTTAGTTTACGATTTAAGCTCAGATCTTAAGGAATTTTTGTAGTAGCCCTAGAGCATCCATAGCATTCCATTCCATGGTCTTCCTTGAATTTTAAATGATTTTATTCAAACTATTTCAAATAAAGTTTGCCTATTATACAAGAGATCTCTGGGTGTATCAGATGGTATGTTTTTCGTTTGTCGGGAAGAGGGATACAGTGACTCATAAGCGCGTAGTACACGCGCATAGAGGCCGGCCATCAATCACAGTCCGCAGCCACACATCAGACTTCATACAACAAAAAAATAATAATACTTCAGGCACGTTTCGCATAGGTCTGTCTTTCCCCACCCTTCCCCTCCCTTCTGTTGATCACCATCTCCCCTCCAGACACGACAGTTTGCGGTTTTTGTGGCAACGCCTTTAACATTGGACTCCGCCGTCGAATCGATTCGGTTCCAAGGCAAGAGCGGAGGCACACACAAAACAAGTACGCCACTCAAACACGTAGAAAGTTCAATTAAAATGCCACGTGAATTGTCGTCATCGTCATTCAAAATGAAGTTGCAATGTGGATTTCCTGGAAATCTGATGGGTGCCCGTCCCAGTGCCAGTGCCAGTGCCAGTGCCCCTGATGACATCAATTTTTGGTTCAACTATAAAATAATTCCAAGTTTCTCTTCTGCGGCAGATGATATCATACCGGGTCCATGAGCGGCACGTGATTTGATTGCAGAAATCTCCATTTACCCCACGACAAAGTGTGAGAGCATTCGGCAAAATGTTTAAAGTTCCCGCCCCAGACATTTTAAGGGGCTTAGACTAGACCAGACGCACGGAGCGGCATGGACCCACAACCAAGTCACCGATGAACGACTACTCGGTTTCGACGAAGACCGCCTGTGAGGCACCATGGTGGCCCAGTCGTTCTTCTTGGACAGCAAATGGGCGCTTATCGACTCGGTGACGGTGTTAATCTGGTCCCTCAACTATTTTTTATTCCATTCGAATGCATTCCACAGATTCGCGCGCGCTAGTTTTGAAATTTTCGAGTATTTTCAACAGCGGCTGCCCAAAAGTATGCAACACTGTCCGATCATTTACGGAGTTCCAGAATCAAACGCTACAGCGCCACTGCATAGCAAAACAGTGCTGTTATCGAAATCGATTTTATTTTAAAATTTAAATCCGTTAAGAGATAGCATGGGAGACAAATCAAAAAATTAGTGTTCGACTAAAATGATGTGTTTCAACACACACAGCCAGCAAGTTAGCAATATTGGATCTAAAAAGTGTTCCAGCTCAAATAGGAGTTAGTCACTCACGGTGGGGGTTTTTTTTTATACCCCATACTCAAAATGAGTATTGGGGTATATTAGATTTGTGGTAAAAGTGGATGTGTGTAACGTCCAAAAGGAATCGTTTCCGACCTCATAAAGTATATATATTCTTGATCAGCATCAATAGTCCGTCTGTCCGTCCGTCCGTCTGTCCGTCCGACCGTCTGTCCGTCTGTCCGTCCCTATCAGCGCCTAGTGCTCAAAGCCTATAAGAACTAGAGCAACGATGCCACAGTGACTAAGTATCGGGTATAAATGTAGAGTTGCGGTCGCAGCAGCAACTCACAACGTTCCCCCTCGTTATTAATCTACGAATCAACAGGCTGATAATCGTATAAAAGATAACGTCGTATTGATTGCATTCGATGTGTGATGTAGTCCAGTCCCTGCCGCAGTGTGTCACATTTCGTCGAAGGAGAACAACGCCAATCTTCGGAAAGTTGCCAGCAGACAGTTCGGTGAATTACTGATTTTATTAAAAGGGAAAACACTTAGCAACAGCCATCTGCTTCTTACTCACATTTCTCGCCGAACGTTTCCGTATTTCGACTTCAAAATGTTTTCAAATTTACCAACGGAGATCATTATTAAAGTGTTGGACTACCTTTTACTTAAAGACCAAATACAATTGGCCCAAGTCAACCAGCATCTTCAGGACGCATTTGTCTACCGCAGTGAACGGGATTTTAAGCAACTCATTGGATGTTGTCATGAAGAAGAAACATTGTCAGGTTTTCTGCCCCTATGCGGCTATATTGTTGTCGATCTCATCTTAGACATCGAAAGTAACCTAATTCTTAAAAAGGTAGAAAAGTATTGCACTAACCTGGAAAAAGTTACGTTTTGGATTCTAAAAGTCACATGTGTCACCGTGCTCAAATCCATTTTAAGCAAGGAGAGCCTAAGAACCATTGCATTGCATAATCAGACAAGGGGAGGACTAGACAATATGCTCACGTACATCAATAAAGACTGCAAAGTGTTGAGTTTAGAAAACGTTTCAAATGACGACAGTAAGATTTTTAACTAATCCCAAAAACTATTTGCGTTTAATTTTCTTTGAATTGATTTCAGTGCAACATTTGCCGCAACTGATTGGCTTGGAACAACTGGAAGTTCTTTTTCGGAATGACATGGTGGATTTGTTTAAAATATGTTTCTCTTACAAGAAACTGCGTGTCTTGAAAGTTTTTATGTGCCTAATGCTGACGGGGGGGCCTGATTTTGTATTTCCTGAATTGGAAGAGCTTGAATTGAAATATTGCAATTTATATAACGGCTTGCCGACCTGTGTCAAACTCAAATCGTTGAATTTGTTTTGCAATTTATATAATGATAAGATGAACATTGTTAACATTATTGCACAGTGTGCACCCAACCTGGAATGTCTAGCTTTTATATCAAGGAAAGAGCCAATGGTTACTGCTCACCATTTGATAGAGCTTCTCAGAAAGTGTAGAACCATCGAATTTATTTATTTATCAGCTGATATCATAAGGAATGTATTATTAAGAAACGAGAGCTCCTTTGTTGACGTTTTAAAGGAAAATGGTTTCAACGCAGAAAGACGCTTGGTAATCGGGGTGCGCGACTTATCGGACAAGCAGGATGTGGTGAGTGTTTGAATACGAGTCATCCGAGTGGTAGTTGGCGGAAATTGATCATATCGGTTGTAGGAAAACCTAGTGCCAAACTCGGAAGCATGGAATTTCATCAAATGTATGCTCTACAGAAGCTAACATCCAGAGACCAGTACCGTGGAATCATGTCAGGGGTCCCCCAGTGAGGGTCCTGACTTCCCAGCCCTGGCCATGGATCCGTTCCCATTTACGCACAATAATCAAACTCAAACTCGACTGCAGCTACAATGGAATATGGATTGACTTTGAGAGCGATATTTATAGCCACTTCATTGAGTTTATGGTGGATATGCTTGATTAGGGTTACTTGTTGATAAGAATATTAAAGAAGAAACCCCTTTCATAGTCTTCTGTTTTGTCTGAACTCACAAACCACGAACCGAACTACTAGTTCTCGATAACTCTCGACGATCGCGATTCGAAGGAACCGCTACGTGCTTAGCCGCTAAACGAGTTTTTCTGCCGTTCGATTTAAAAACGAAAAATATAGATGAATGCGGCATTCTGTTCCGCTTTAATGCAGCTTTAATTGATTTCGTTTAAGTACATTTTCTACTTGAAATATAGTTCTGGTCGCCTCGTCCTCTGATGAGGATCTAGGTAGATCTTTAATTTTGAATGCAACGCCCACGAATGTTAAGAAGCAACAAGTACAACCACTGGCACTGTTGCTGCGGCTGTTACTGGTTTCTGCCACTGCCTCTGCGGTCGCCACTGATGACATTTCGGCCAAGGTAACTCGAGAGCAACGCAGCGCCAGAGACCTCTCTCTCTCTCTCACCTCCGAGCCATTTACATTTTGCGCTCTGGCCGTACGAAAGCTTCTACGGCACATACATGTGTACAATATACTGCGACGCCTCTCGGGGCGACTCAGCGTGCTCAGCGGCGCTCCACGGAGCTCTCCAAATTCAAGTCTCGGCCACAATTCAGAAGGTGTACGACGACGCGACCGAGAAGACGTGTGCGCTCTGGATATATTGATCTCAACGGTGCTTTTCATTGTAGTAGCTTGTCACGTATACGTATACGTACACTCGAGCTTTGTGTAAGTGTGTGAGTGTGTGCGAGCGAAAGATCACTCTTGACCGCGCCTTAAACGCCAAAGCGAATAGCGTCGTTGCGATAAAGCCCTCAGATCCGATCGAAATTGTGAACAAAAATGCAAAATAATGAATTAAAAGTGTATAAAACTGTGAAAACTTCAACAATTTGAGGAAAATATCATGTGCACGAATGTGAAAAAAGCCTAAAAGCTTCCAAAAAGTGAGGTTGTGTTGGTATTGGCTTGGCCAAAAAGTGTTACCAAACACACACACATACACACACACACACAGTGCCAGATACCAGTGCGCGGAGTACACAAAGAAAACCTACAAGAGGGAGAAAAACAGAGGCATTACCAAGACGGCGGGTTCTGGCCAAAAGAGATTGGGTTCTTGGCTTTGGTTTCGACTCGAGATATTTTCGTTATTCTTAGAGGGGAACACTATGGATTGGTAGAGACTAGAGTGGGTCTCAGAGCAGCCATGTGTAAAGATTGCTGTTCGAGACCCCAACTTGAGAATTCTGCTGCGAACTGCTTTTACCTCTTCTTCGGCGCGTTGCACGCTTTCTTGCGTTTTGTGGACGACGGTTGTTGTTTTTTTTTGTTCAGTGCCTAATTGCCACATCCGATCCACCAACATCTATGCCAATTTCTGTGGCCAATAAACTGCAACTTCAACTGTGCAAATGCGTTCAGCCAGCCGCAACGTTTTTGTTGCACTTGCCTCGCTCCCTTTCTCTCTCTCTAGCCCTCTCTCTAGCCCTCTCTTTTTTCTAAAGAGAGACAGGTTGCACCTCTGTAAGTTCCTCTGTTACTTCCGTTCTACATTATTACTCATCGGAAATTGTGTATAGGAAGCAGGCCGATGACGCGCCGCCCCTCGCCCCTCGTCACCCCTCGGTTACAGGAATTAAAAGTTCATTTCGCTTACGTGAAAGGAAGTCGGACATTATCAATCATTCGTAATACGTTCTTATAGATAAGGTGACCAGCAACGCAAAATAGTACAATAGATATTCTCAGTGCATTTTGTGGTGGAGCCCATAAATTCCCCTAGATACAAAAATATCTATAATAGAACATAATAAAAAACAAAGACAGTGTTTAAGGTATAGAAAAGTATTGCGACCAAGGGATGTCCATTAGTTGGAGCTTTTGATATCTCGTAAAATGTGAAACCTTTTGCATTTTCACCAGAAATGGCACCCAGGATTCATACAAAACTCTAGCATTGAAGGACTACAGCTAGTATTTTTTGATTTTAGCTCAAATTCTCTTTTCTAAAGGTAGATTGCCATATATCGACAGTAAACACAGATTTCCAATCCGAATTCCGATGTTCTGGGCAATGATATACCAAAACTATTATCTCTTCTCTCGGAGGTAACACAGAACCACATTTATATAGTCTCCCAAATGTTTTCTTTCACATAAAAAAGGCATACTATGTATGCAGAAAGGTAGCCAGATAGTCATTAAAAGATTTCCTCCTGAAGAGGGTTTCCTTGTCAAACAAAACATCCCCCACAATATACCCTCTCACTCCGGCAGGGTATCAAAAGCTTGCTGGTCAATCTTATCACCATTTTAAGCATCAAGTCACATCATCAATGGCTGAATGAAAGAGTGAGAGAGAGAGAGAGCACATACTACTACATACCGATAAAGATAGAGATAGCATTAGGTGACTTATTGTGGGTTGTATTAGTCATGCGGCGCTCATCTCATTGATGCCGGCTAATGACTAACAAATACTAGATGCAAATTCGAGTTTAAAGCAAAATAGAAACAAAGCGAAAGCAAATTGAACAATGATGAGGCGGGGAACGAGCCTCAAGCTACCATAAAATTGGTTAGGTAATTGAATGGTGGCCACAAATGTGGTCCAACGGGTTGTTGAACCTCCGAAAGAACGGAAACTAAATTAAATTGCTGTAAAATTGGTCAAAAACAGCCGCACAGCAGGAAAACTCTTTCGAATGGCCAACCCACTGAGTGAAAGCTCGAACTAGAAATACACGGAATAGAAGATAACTACGGGAATTTTGAGGTTTTACAAGAGTCGAAATATGATAGTATTTGAATAATAAATAGAACCAAGGCTGCAAGGGTGTTATTAGGGTACAAAATTAGTTGGGATAAAAGATAATTTTATCTGTAGGATTATGGTAATAAAGTTTTCTTGGAGGCTTTGAAAAACTTTCAAGTTTTGAAGAACTACAGATATTTTTTTCAAAATTATTAAAGTATTTGGATATTTTTCTTGAATTTCTTTGGAACAGATTTCTGATCTCTTTACAGAGATGTATGGAATTTACCTCATTAATACCCCAAAGATTCAAGTAAAAAGTTCAATCAATATATCCTTTGTGTCATTTAACTAATTTCATCAGAAAGTGAATTGCTTTTAGCACCTAATACCAATCCAAAAGTCCCATTAAAGCACTTAATAGATTGTTAAAAACTTTTTACAGATTGTTCCAAAATTAATGGTCACTCTGGTAAAAAAGAAATGCATATCCATGCCATAAAATACTAGTCAGGAGTAAGAGCAGGCCTAGCCCCACTCACGGACCCCCTCTTAACGTTCATTTGGCTTTTGTGTTGAACGCAAAATGCCAAACCAAACTAAAGTTAATAAACCCATAAAAAGGCAGACAATAAACTTTTGAATGCACTTCAAAACGCAGTCACTGCAACAGCAACGGCAGTAACAACGTTCAACGTTCAACGTCAACGACTTGCATCGCTTGCAGTTGAGTCACATCCAAGAAAAGATACAATCCACACACGCATCGCTTGCCTCCAAGCCACTTTGCATATTCGATAAATGTAAAATGCTGGTTGCCCCAAAAGATACCTAGGAGTAGGGGGTAGGGGGGTGTGCAGATGGAGTTGGGGGAGTTGTCAGAGGTGGAAATGCTTTCTTCTTTCTTACGCACACGTAACGCCACAAAGAAGACGAAGGAGAAGATGCAGTAGAAACAAGAAAACAGAGGAAAATCAGATCTCGAGGAACGAAGCTCTCGGATACCCTTGCAGATTGATCTTTTATATGATTTGGGAAGGGGAAACTCCCCTAGAATATTGATCAAACTTTTATAGCTATGAAAATACTCCCTAAACTATAAGTATTGGAGTTTATTTGGATTGATCTTTAGCAAAAACTATATTTAAGGTATACAAATACTTGCTAAGAGACGGATATCTTCTAGGGACCTATGACATGATTTTGAGTTTATTAGCTATGAAGTTAAGGATGTTGGAATTTCTCACATATATTTTACTATCGACGATCGCATTTCCCATTCGATCCTTCATATTCGATCGATTTCTGTGAAGCATACATTAATTTGTAATCTAATTTCAAAGGACTTTACTTGAAGCACACTTCCTGTATAAAAAAAAAACCTATTCCAAGTTTTAGTCTAATTTTGTATGCCCTAAAAGTGGTACTTCTTCTCTAAACCGTTTTCTTCTCTCCCTTACAAAACTCTTCGGAAAACAGTAATACC